TTTTTTTCTGTCATGGAGCTGCTCTCTTTATTGCTGCTTCTCCCAATCCTACATCTCTTCTTCACAATTTGGAAGTGGGTTGATAACAAGAGAGACCAAGAGTGTTACATTTTAGACTACCAATGTTACAAGCCAGCTGATGATAGAATGGTAGGGACTGAGTTCTGTGGGGAGGTGATAAAAAGGAACAAGAACCTTGGCCTCAACGAGTACAAGTTCCTGTTGAAAGCCATTGTCAGCTCCGGGATTGGGGAACAAACCTACGCCCCAAGAATCATGTTCTCTGGCAGAGAAGAGAGCCCAACATTGTCAGATGGCATCTTGGAAATGGAAGAATTTTTCTATGATAGCATCGGGAAGCTCTTGTCCAGGTCAGGCATTTCCGCTCAGGAAATTGATCTTCTAGTCGTCAACGTCTCCATGCTATCTGCGGTTCCTTCTCTGTCTACTAGGATCATAAATCACTACAAAATGAGGCATGACATTAAGGCTTTTAACTTAACCGGCATGGGATGTAGTGCAAGTTTGATTTCTCTCGACATTGTTCGCAATGTTTTTAAGTCCTACAAGAACAAGTACGCGTTGCTAGTAACCTCGGAGTCTTTGAGTCCAAATTGGTATGCAGGCAACGATAGATCCATGATCCTTGCTAATTGCTTGTTCCGTTCTGGTGGCTGTGCAATTCTTTTGACAAACAAGAAGTCCTTAAGGCATCGTGCAATGTTCAAATTGAAATGCTTGGTGAGGACACACCACGGAGCCAGAGATGAGTCCTACAATTGTTGTATCCAGACGGAAGATGAGAAAGGAAGGATGGGATTTCACCTTGGCAAAAGCCTTCCCAAAGCAGCTACTCGTTCTTTTGTGGACAATTTGAGGGTTATTTCCCCTAAGATCCTGCCTGTTAGGGAACTACTTCGGTTCATGGTAGTGTCACTTGTCAAGAAATGGAACGGCCGTGGTTCTTCCAAGGGAACTACCCAGGGACCAATCAAAGCTGCGGTGAACTTCAAGAGTGGAGTGGACCATTTCTGCATCCACACAGGAGGCAAAGCAGTGATTGATGGGATTGGGATAAGCCTTGATCTTACTGAGTATGATCTGGAGCCGGCTAGGATGACTCTGCATCGATTTGGCAACACTTCTGCTAGTAGCCTCTGGTATGTTTTAGCATACATGGAAGCCAAAAAGAGGTTGAAGAAAGAAGACAGAGTGTTCATGATAAGCTTTGGAGCTGGTTTTAAATGCAACAGCTGTTTGTTGGAGGTGGTGAGAGATTTAGGGGATGGAAATGTGTGGAAAGATGAAATTGACAGGTACCCACCAAAGTCATTGGCTAATCCTTACATGGAGAAGTACGGTTGGATCCAGAATGAAGACCCTAGCACCTTCAAAATTCCAGAGTACTAGAGAGTTTTAAAAGAAGAGAAAGACAAACAACATAGAAACAATTTGAAGGTCTTTTTTCTTTTCTTCCCTTTGATTTCCTGTCTGAGATTATTAAATTACTGTATACTGTTAAGTTATTGTATTGTTAAATCCCATGGTGGATTCATCACCAATAAGGTGGGCAGCTTCCAATATGGTTAGAAGTTTGCCATACCCTATTGGAAGGCTGGGGTTCTTCTTCTTCTTCTTCAAATTTTTTCTTTTCCCTTCTACAGGGTTTGATTAATTGGCACTCCTTATTATTTCAATTTAAGGGAAATAGAAAAGATTTGGCTTATAGTTTCAATCAGCAGTGCATGGATTTATTATTTTTAGTAAGAGTTTTCTTTTACTCGAACACATGCTCAAGTTCTACTGTTTTTTTCTTCATTCTTTTTGATTTGTTTACAACCTTTAGCATTTAAGATCATACATTGGGAAGAGGGTCCCCTATGGATGATAATCCCCAACATGTATACCAGATGTCCTGATTTCAAGTACTTGAAGTGAAAGTTTTATCTTTTATTTTAAAAAATTGTTTACTAAAATACTCGTTGGTAAAATTTATTAAAAATTAAAATAAAAACGTGAAAGTATACTCTTTTAACATGTGAAATTATTTATGAGACATTGAAATATATATTTAACACCGAAAGGTGCACAGAAATTGGTCAAGTAAACCTCAACTCAAGCTCTTATTAGTTAGAAGGGATTAGTGGCGATCTGATTTAGAAATGCTCTTAATTATATTCTTTATTACTGCGTTGCATTTAATAAAGCTTTTATAGGTCGAAATGTGAAGAATATTTACAGTTGGACTCAGAATAGAAAGAGTTAGCTGGGAGTTATATTTATATTCATTACTACTCTTGATATTTGATTTGTCATCCACAAATTGTCAAATTAATTGAGGCTTTCCTGTTCTTGCTTTCTGATTACTTCATCAATGATAATTCATATCTTTATTGAAATTTAAGTGAAATTCTTGAATGGTGTTTGGTCAAAAAGAAAAATTAATGCAAAGTGACTACTGACTTCCTACTGTTTTTTGAGTTATTTGACCTATGGTCATGAATCAATTAAGGAAGAATTGAAGAGACGAATAAAATTATAAGGAATTCTGCATTGTAACATTTAACTCCATGGTAGATATATATACATATATATATTCTTTAATGTAAAAAGTCGGGCTCGAATTTATTAACTATCGTCCTATACGTGTAGTCCCTGACAGCAAATGCCAACGAGCCCAAAATTCTTAATTATAGCAATAAATCATTGGTCTCCAGTTAGCAAGTCACAGTGGTCCATGAACGACCTTTTGCAATTAAAACATACCATGAATTGGTCATTTCAGCCAGCCTAGGCTCCATTTCAGTACTGCATTGGCTAACACAAAAAGGCCTTCATAGGTTCATTGCTTGTCACCACCACCCCCATTTTAAACTGGACACGCAGTTAACCCTCTTTCTCTTTAATTCCATCTAAGAAAGAGAGATGAAGTTATGGAGAATTTAATGGCCTTTGCCTTTCTTGTGATTGCTACTGTGAACAAATACATTTCCTCTGACAGACAGCATGAAACAAAATATGAAAAAAACAAAAGGAAATAGAAACCATTATTATTTTCACTTGGAAATAAAAACACTATTCAAGTCCAATGATACACTTACCTGTGTTCTCCTAAGTGATCACTAGGTAGAAAAAGAGTTTCTCTTGGCAAAAATATCCTTGACAACAGAAATTTGTTATCACAAAGAGACTAAACATGGTGGATAGGAAACAAGATCAGAAATGCCACGATCCCAAGTACACAAAGCCCCCTCAAAGAAGGTCTATTTAGTAAAGCAAATTCAGCTGACAAAGGCGGACCATTGGGCATGAAAAGGATTAAATAAACGGTACTACCATCATAAACCACCTCCCCTCCACCCCCCAACAACCATGTACCGCTAATTAAATAAGAGGTGGCCTGATTTTATAGTCTCATTGAATATGTACTTTTTAATACAAGATATAAGATTCAATTTTGTTTTTATTGAATTAAAACTTATAAGACTATAGGAATCACTATGTAATTGAGTTGCTATACTTTAATTTTTCATATACAGGGTATTTCTCATTTCCAATTTGGTTATTCATGCATGTGTGCTTTAAATGTTTTAGGTGATCTTTTCAATGTTTGCCTCCTTTATTATGAAACTTAGCTTGGAGTTCACGAAAATTGGCCATGGTTTAATGTTATAAGATCATTACCTTCTCTCAAAAGATCAATTTGATGGACGATGCAACGCACACACTTAAATGTTCAGAATCTTTTTATTTATTCGATGTGAGATTTCATAGCATTCTCTCTTATTTGAATTCTGGATGCCTTCATTACACTCGAGTGCTTAACATGATATTGGAATTGAGTTCGGGCTAGCTCTAATACTATTTTATTATAGAATTGAGAAATGCAATGTTCACACTTATAAATTTAGACTCCTATCTTATCTTTTTGAGAAATTTTGTAACATGTACATAAAAAATCATTACTAGTATTTTTTAGAAAAATACTTAGTAATCACATGAATTTATAAATAAATGATAGACCATGACAAGTAATTGCCTCATTTCACAATTTAGATTAATTTTTTTTCTGCCATTGACTAATAAAAAAAGGTAATTTTACTACTTGTACTTGGTATTATCGGGTGTTTTTTTTTTTATTCCCAATCATGAAAAAAACATTTGTCCATGAGAAGATAAGCTTTTAAAGTTCAAACACTTTCCTAAAACGTAGAGGTCAATTTTGCATGATCTAGTCAAATTGTGAAAGCTTGCAGGGAAGCATTTATTGTTGGTATATGCCTTTGAGCCAATTGGATTGATCAAGGAATATATATTGTCATTTAATGCATACTTAATCGTATAACTATATGTGATAGAGGTTTTCCTTTATGTTAGTGCAATAATAAAGAGTTATTAAGTATTAATTGGATGAAGCTCATGGAACATAAAAGCCCTACAAGAGAAATGCAAAGTTGTTATAATTATAATATCACTATGCATCAAAGCCATGCTTTTAAAATTATTCCTAGTCATTGTATTATTAAGACAAGGCATTGACAATGCTCAAAAACTGGTACATGTTGAGTCACTTTACTTGAAAAATAAGCAATTGATCTCATGGATTAAAATATATGGGATACTTGAGGATAATATGTAAGTGCTTGTTAAAGAACAAGTTCACTGAACATGATCTGCTATTAGAACTCTATTTGGTATTTTACTCAAGTGTCTATAGAATATGTTGTCATGTAATAGCCGTGTAATTAGTCCTCGGACTTGAGACACTATGTTATCTTGTATAGTGAATGACATACTTTGATTTTACCTCTATGAGTATGGAGGAGACCAGATGCTTAAACAAAGTGTTTTTAGGTATGTCATGAAGCACACGAAGGTGAATGAGTGGTTAAGAGAGGACTCATCACCCCAAGTGATATGAGAAGATGTATCTCTATTATTTTGAATTCTTGATTAACTTATATAAATGTTTTGGCCAAAGCATGATGAATTTAAGAAAAGTTAGTTTCCTAAATTCATAAGGTTAGTCATGAATTATGAGAACTAATCTGGAATGTTATAAGTAGACATTGAGTTATACTTTATGATATATTTAGGATATTTGATAAAAAAAATCATATTGCACTGAGAGGCTTAGCACTGAAGGGCTTTGTCAAATTCTTTAATTAACTCTCTAACATTTAGGTGATTATAATATATTGTCAAATGCCGCTTATGATCTATAAACATAAATCAATTATCAAATAGATATTTGATTAGTATTTATATTTATTGTCAACATGTTAAGAGCCTAATAGGTCACATATATTAAGTGACATAATTGAGATTAAATAAGGTAAATCAATTAAGTTGGACTTAATTGAAATAGACCAAAATAAAATGAAAAGTTAATTAGGTTCATAAAGATCTAATTGAATTAAAATACAACAGTTGTATCTAAGGTTCTAACTTAGTTTGGCTATATAAATATGTTATGTTAACGAACTAAAACTCGAAGCCTTCAACTACTTCTTAGTTGCTTCATAAAAGTAAGAAAAAAATAATTTTCTTTACATGACAGAAATAAAATTTGACAAGAATTTTTTATCTTTTTATTTTAAAAACAAACTTGCTATTACAAGTAAAATCTTACTTTTAAGTAAGTCTTATTCAGTCAATGTGCAGATCATTGTTAGAAGCTAAATATTTGGGTGGCTAAAGATTTTACCAATTCTAAAGGTAACAAAGTAAAGACTTCGATTGTAGAATTTCAAATTGTCTTATTTTCTTTTTGAGTTACTTGCTTCGTCACAAGCATTTTGGGATTTAAGTAACTCTTGATTACTATATTTAGGGTAAGTTATGTAATACTTAAACTTATGAATATTCATAATTAATTTAAATATTACATAAAAAAATACAAATATTGATTTTGTAGAATTTGACTGTTTTTTTAATTAAATGCTAATTTATTTTTCTGTTGTGTTATATTTTTAATTTTTTAATTATTTTTATGTTGGAGCATGAGATTGAATCTCAGCATTTGTAAGCAGAATTTGCTTACTAGCAACTGCCAACCATTGCAGCATTTCACATTATCATATATCTGTCACAAAAGTTACTTCATCTACCTTTCATCTTTCTCTTTAACCAAAACAATCTTCTACTGTAAACCAGATAGAAAAGACCACTCTACTTTTTGGAAATGTCAAAATAAAAAGAAAGAAAAAACTATAGCAATCATTTTCTCTCACTACGTTACATTCTCATGTGAAGTTATGCGAAATATGGCTGCTCAATTAGTTGAATGCAACAATCGTCTCCACCAAATATTTTGGAGGATTTCGCCTCAATGAACTTAATATTAATGGCGGCATACAAGTAATCAAGTTCTTCTTGTGCTATAAAAGGAACATGGATTTCGACAAAGGGTTGTTTGATCTTTCTTTCCCTTATGTGCAATCTTGGTTCTTAAGGTAAACAAAAATAGTCGTTTCATTTTTTCGTTTTGGTTCAGCAAAGATGTAGACAAATCTGCTCCAAATTAAATTGCACAATGTGTTTCAAGCCCAAGTTAACTTTGCTGAAATCAATGAGCTGTGGTGTTATTTTAGCTTGCAGCTGAACTAAAGCTAAGCTTGGATGCTGGTTAAAAGTTGCTAATGATTAGCCTTTTACAAATGAATCCCCTTTGCTGGTTTTGGGGTTCAAGCTTTTTAGTTTGATCTTCCATGGTGTTACTCTGTTAAAATACTTGATTGCAGAGTTTCACAAGGAAAATGCTTCACTGTTGAGATATTGCAATTAGAAATCTTGAAAGGATCTATCAAACAACATTTTTCTTTTGTAAAATTTAATGTTGTTTCAGCAGATGTCAAAACGCTTGAAACGAATAGGTATAACATATTAGTATCAAGGGTAAAATATCTTCCTTAACTTTTGATCATAATTATATAAGAATCTATTAGTATTCAAAATAAATAATTTTTTAATTTTTGATTATAATCAAAATAGACAGTTGGTCTAAAAAAATATCTTTCATGAGATGCATAAGTCCTGTCGTTAATCAACTGTCAATATTTTTGATTGTTTGATGACATAACAATATTTTTAAGACAATTTTACCTTTTCATTAATTTTAAAAGTTATTATTATATAAATTATAATTTTTTATTTTTAAAAGTTTTCTCTCTTATTAAAAAAAAATCTCTCCTAGCTTACCCTTTCATTGCCGAATCTAGCTAAGGAGCGTCAAATCTGGTCAAATCGAGAGAGCACCAATCTGAAGCTCTCATGAGGAGATTTGGTTGGATCCGATATTCCATAGCTAGATTTGGTCACAAGATGGTCGATCGGTGTAAAAAAATGTCATCGACTGACCTGAGAAAAGGAAAAAGAGTAGAGAAAGAAAAAAAGTATTTTAGACATTTTATGTTTAGACATGAACACCATTTACACATTTGAGACGAACTGTTTATTTTGAATATTAATGTATTCATATATAATTATAATCAAAAATTAAAAAAAATCAATGTATTTTACCCTAATATGAATGTCGTTGAACAAACTTAACCATCTATGGAATTAGCTTCCGAGTAGCTCCTAGCCTCAGTCAAGCTCACATGTTTTTGGGTAATTTTCAGGTTCAAAATTTAAAGTTATGTTACATAGTAGTATTTGCCAAGTGGTAGGAGGAGAACAACTGCACCCCAAATTTATAGGAGCAGATCCAACTTTTGTTGTTTGGGTAGTTAGCCCACCATATTGGGCAACCGAAAAGAGGTCTTGAAGAAAGGTCCTGGTCACTCTAACCTAACTTTTGATGGAAAGGAAGGCCCATTTTACACACGGTGTTTCATCCCCATAAAGTTCATTGTCATTTTTATAAAAGCATCATAATAATGAGCTTTGATTACAAATTAAATTGATGCCTAATGACATTAGATTGATGGGATTTGATTAAGATTACCATTTCCATGGATCCCATGCTATGGGAATTGGATGCAATCAAGTAACCATAATAAAAAGAACAAGAAAACGTGCCTAGGTTGTCAAATTATTCTCTTCAGGCAAGTGTCTGATTGCTGACAGGATCAAAATCTGGGTATAATTACATTAGCTTTGCACCTTTGAAACCTGAATTGAAATTCATGTTGTCTTTTTATTTTCGAAGATTTCTTAGGATTAAACGGCAAAAAATAACAATAATAAAGTTGTTTACTTGTATTATTTTTCATTGAAAACTTTCATCGAGCACTAGGCGGTGAAGTCGTGAACTTTCCATTAAAATTTCTCAAAATGGAGAAGGAAGAGATTGATGGGTGTTCTTCTCTTGCTTACAAGCTTTTATTCTCATGCCCTTTTGGTCTTTCTCCACCACAGGTTTTAACTTCTTTGCTTTCCTTCTCCTTTGGTCTTTAGAGTTCATTTTCTTTCACCAAATTATAAATATTCATTGTGATTTCGTTTGTTGGTTTGGTGGATGAAGCTGTCAGTGGTTTTCGACGAATCATACGATAGAATTCCTCATTCAGACATAAATTTGGAGAACTCCATTTCTCAGGTGAACTTCAAATTATTTAAGTTTTTGATAGTCAAGTTCTTTTTTTTCTCTAATGTTCTTCTTTTTTTTCCTTAGATATGGGATCTGAGGGTTCAGAAAAATGCATCTTTATTCAATGGCAAGAAATTTAGGGTATGTTTTGGCCCTGCTTACCTCTTATGCTTTAAACTTTTAGCTCTCAGGGCACTCTATTTCATTAATTGAGATGCAGGGAAAGAAAATTTGATACAATTGCTGTAATACGATAATTTCAAAAAAAAAAAGATTTCTGTAATACTATCATGCCTGAACATTCATGACGTTATTTCGTTTTGATAAATTTTCTTTTGAATTAGCATCCATTATTGTTGGCATTTGGATAATTTTACAGTATGGAGGATATAGTCAGAACAGTGGAGATGGATCAAACCAAGAATCATACGTATGCCTCCACCTTGGGTTGACAGATTATAGGTCTCTCCTTCACTCTATTTGTTTATGAGTGCATTTAGTTATTCATGCTGCATATGCTCTAACTTCACTATCTTTTCGATTTTGTAATGTCTGTATCCTCCCATTTTGGTAAAGCATGACATCCATTGCGAAAGCATTTACTTGTATCATATCTTATTGACGGGTCTTCTTCTATTAATAATGATTCAATACTCTCTGCTTTGTACCAGAACTTTCGTGGGAACAAACTTGAATCCTTCGTGGGAAAAATTCTTGGTTACATCGGAAGGTATCTCAATATGAATTTACAATATTCACTGAAGATGAGCTTCTTCCTCGTTCTTTTTGTTATAGCAGTTAACACAAATTGATATAGCTTGCAAACCCACAAATTTGTCTCTATTTGTGAAGTCCTAAATCGTCACAACATAATCAGCTAACAACCTAAATTATGATAGAAATGAAACTGTTCAGTATTTTCCAATTTTTAGTAAAGATAGTCTCCAAGAAATCAATTCCCCAGTAAAAGGCATCGATTAATTCATTTTATTAATTTCTTGGTGCTGAGTGTTACTTTGTTATTAAGACTACGTAATACTTTTGTGTAGCTAAGTTTTAACTTTGATGTTACAAACACAGCTGCAAACTTTTTGATTGTTTAATTGTACATGCGGTGCCATATCTCTTGACCATTAGCTTTACTATTCTGCAGATGACTCAACACAGTGTCAACACACCTCAAGCCCTCTAGGTAATGCTGCAATTGTGGAGACATCTGACAAGAAAATAGTAGTGCTGCAAAGAAGTAACAATGTTGGTGAATTTCCTGGGCATTTTGTTTTCCCAGGAGGCCACCCTGAGGTAATAAAGATCAAATGGAAAATAATACATCTGCATACTTTTTGATAGCAAGGCCCTGTTATTCTTTTGCAGAAAAATGAATAATACCATGCTCATCCGCATTCATTGGTGTATTTGTACTTTTCTTTGGTCTGACAGCCTCAAGAAGTTGGCATAGAAACCCATGAATACAGTAAGGACTCAAAAGATTCTGAGCTTGTTAATAAAAGGGTTTCCCAAGAGATGTTTGATAGCATTATTCGTGAAGTTGTTGAGGAAATTGGAGTACCAACTACATCCCTAGTAAGTGACAGTTAGTTTGTCATTGGTGCTGCTTCTTTTAATCCATGGTTGTGAAATTATGGTTAATTTTAACTGTCAAAATATTGGGAATAGAGCTCTGCTAGTCATTTTTTTTATGAAGGACACAATTTGAAGAAAATAATATTTAAACCTTACAACTGTTTAAGTCTGAAATTCATAGTTGATGAGGTTAAATATGTAGTCCTTGACACAAGACCCTTCTAGGAAAAGATATACAATTCACCCAAGTAGGCTCTCATTGTTGTAGCTTTATTTTGTCAACAATAATTGCATTTTTCCATCAAAGTCTGTGCCCAAACAAAAAGAAGAAGACCCTATCATGATTCACCTTGAGACAGTTGAAAAACAACTTTGTTATTTTCTTGTAGCTTTCATCTCAGTTTCTTTACTGAGTTAATAGCTTTTTTTCTGTTCAATGAAACCATATTGCTGGCCTTAGTTGCCTTCATGGTTTCTAATGCAGTATGTTTCCCTTGATTGATTTTCTTAATGTTCATGAGTAATTTCATCCTCTCCTTGAAAAATATTTGATATGTGCTTTAATATTTTTTCTTCTTGCAGTCAGATCCGCTTTTTATTGGCATATCTCGCAGGGTTTTGAATGTTAGACCAGCTATCTTTTTCTTTATTAAATGTAGTCTTCAATCAAAAGAAATTCAGCAGCTGTATTCTAATGCACAAGATGGCTATGAATCCACTCAACTTTATACAGTCTCAATGGTCAGTCCTCCTCTTGTTTTCTTCTTTTGAAATGTTAGAATTTGATTCATTTTTGCGGAAATTGCTGGGTTTGATTTATTTATTTTTTAAACTACTAGTCAAAATCTTGTCAATATTTTGGTGGTGGCCACGGCGGCTCTTTTTTTTGGTGTTGTGGTTCAATAGTGCTCTTGCGATGTCAATTTGTAGCAAAGCCTTTGGTAGTGGCTGTGGCATAGCATGCACTGGTGGAAAGTGAAGGAGGGGTCGATTATAAAGTGTGGTAGGACCTAAAGTTGACTGGAGTGTTTCTTAGCCTCTACCCCCTTTTCACGTGCTTGGGGCTGTGCTGTAGAGTAAAAACCTTTCTTTTCAGAAGTTTGAATGGACAGTTTTAAAAGCTGAGTCTTCGAGGATTGAGTCATATATCGCAACGAAAAGCTTTGTATTGTACTACTCAGAGTTAATAAATTTATATTCTTTATATCTTTTAAACATGTTATTGCATTTTGTTTCTGATAATCAGATTGAACTAGAGCCTATGGCATTAAAAATGCCTGGCTGCCATCAAGGTGGATTTGCTCTCTATAAGCTGATGGTTGGAGCCTTGAAGAATATCTGATGATGGTTCATAGCTTACTGGTCTATACAAGATTTCACCACTCCATTTTCAGAAGCTCTCAGATTTAAATTTATTACTTCAGTTTGTAATTTTTGTATCTAGAAACATTCTTTTCATAATATGCTTGCAAAAGGACAAAGTCATGCTCGAATGTATCACTCTATTTCCGTCTTAAGTTTGCTATTTAATGTGGAAGCAACATTAAATTCATAAAAATTTTGGTGAAGCAATAATATCATTTTAGTTTTATCAATTCACAGCTTGGTAAATTCATTTCAAACTACTGCTTTCAAGGGATTTCCAACCTAGTTGTATGCAGTCTGGTGTCTAATAGAAATTACGGACATTCAATAGATGCTATATACGTAGGAATCAGAATAAACAAGATAGTTTTCCTTGGATCCAGCTGAGAGTAGAAAACCAAAGGAATTACTTATGACCTCTATTGAGGAAAGTTTCTTCTGCTGGATTGCAAAATTTCTTGAATCTGACTTGCATTGTATTGGAAACAGACTTCCAGGTTTTCTCGAAGAAGTTTCAGGGTAATTCAGGCATCTTGCCTTTTGACAAAAATTATCTATCTCGAACAAGTTAACATGATCAACTTTCTTTGGACCAGAAACTCACTCTAGAATAGTGTGCTTGGGCAGGATGACTTCAGTCAAGAGTGGGACCATCTATATTTGACCATAGCTTTCTACTTTATGTGTTGAAATTGCAGGGAACTTAGATTGGATTAAAGAATTGTCATAAGTCAAGAGTTAAATGTTTGAATTGTGTTCTTATTTTGGGTTTGCTTAGTTAGTTCGTTAGTTGGTGTATGAAGTTTGATAAATTTCCTCACCATTTAAATAAATAAATGTGGTTGTCTTCACATATGCAGCTTGAGAGGAAGTGATAGCTAAGAACTTAACAGTTTTGTCAATTTCACAACATCAATTGCATTGAATTTGAGATGGTTTGTACCATAGGAAATCATCATCAGCTACTTGAGCAGCTTAAAGCGTTCATTGCAATCAAACTTGTCTTCAATTCATTGCGGGGCCCATGAAAATTTAGCTTCCAACCACTGAAAGAGAGCTGCCCCACTTGCTGACAAAAAGTAAGAAAGTTTCCAACCCTTCTGATCGAAGTCAACAGTTCTCGTTCTAAGATTTGGCCAGTGAGAAGTACAGAAAAGGAATATCTTATCACTACCATGGTTCTGTCTTAACATCTCTAGCTACCTTATCATGTATCCATAGTTAGTGGCTACATAAAATCGGTGAAAAATTGCCCATTATTCTGAAGAATTCTCGTGCCTGATCATGTTCATATGTTTCTTTTACATTCCTGATCAAGCTCTTTTGTTCTTTTTCTGAGAACAGATCCCTGGTGTAGAAGATTCCTCGTTATCTTGTTGTTCCAGGCTTGTTTTTTGAGTGATGTAGTCCCCATTCTTACCTACGGTGTTGTGGGGATCTCCCCACTGCATTTGATAAATGCCATTGGTTGCATTAATGGATTACTCTGCCCCCAAAAAGGGTATAATTTTCCAGTACAAAACTTCTGTTCTCGTTTTGAAGGACAAAGGCAACGGCAACCAAAATTCCAAGACTATATCTGCTGCTTGGGATCTGTTTAGACACATTGAACTCTTCTGTAGTTCCTTGAAAAAGAAATAAACATGAAATATTCATTCTTTATTTCTCTCTCCAAGCTACAGCCATGAACCATTTGTTCCCTCTTTCCTGGTAGGTCCCCTCCAAGTCAAAAAAATCAATCTCTCGACTCTATCCGATGTCTCCAATTCAATAATGCAAAACTTCCATATTGCACTGTTTTAGCCATTAAAATGGACCTTTTATTGAAGTGGTGATAACAACATTTTTATATCAATTAAATTGAATGTCAATCTTAAAATTTTACCATGATATCGGAATAGACGTTATCTTTATTCATTGATTTTTTTTTTATAATTTATGTCAAGTGAAAAGCTTATATTTCATTTTTTAACTTAAAATTTAAACTCTCTCTCTCTCTCTCTCTACATACAGATCATGCCGATAAGGAAACCTATTTTTAACTGGAGAGTCAAGGGCCAACAAAAGCCTGGTTATTCTCTCAAAGCAATATGTTCATAGTATTTAAATATGCTTATATCAGTCCATCTGCCTTTGGTATAAGAAAAGAATGACAGCAACATTATGTGTGCAGTGATTTAAGCAAAAGACATCCAGATGACATAAACCATGTCTGGAAACAGCACGTGCGTTGCTGCGGCTGACTGGCTGATTCCCATTTGTCCAGGAGCCAAACCCAATTTGCTTTCAATTTAACCATGTGAGGGGAGAACCACAGGGGTGGCCTGGTTTTGGACTATACCATGGATACTTGCCCTCCACGTGAGATTTAAACCATACTTTACTCAAATCTGCTTTTAAGCATAAACCTCAAAAAAGTCTTTGAGGGTAAACAAATATCCTCAGACTTTTTTTAAGCAACCAGTGAGGGCCTTTTGTGTTTCCTTCAATGTGAAGTACTTGCTTTTTCCCCCTGTAATTTGACTGTAATGCTGCTGCCCTTTCCTTTTTGATGCCTCATCTTTTCCACCTTTTTGCTGCTTTCAGATGTGCATATTTGTTTAATGGTTTATGGAGATTGCACAGCAACTGTAGGGCGAAAGTTAAACAAGGGAACTTACAATAAGCCATGAAATTAAGCAATTGGTGCAATACCAAAAACTTAGCTTAAAGAAAAAACTATACTAGTCCCCTGATAATGGATCATAAATGTAGAACTTTTCAATTCAATATCTCTTTTTTTTCTAAAAAAAATGTAATAATTTATTGTTATTAATCATGAGAAAAAACCTCTTAATCAAAATTAAATATATTCATATAACTACGGATACCATAATACATTCAGTGTTTGATGGTAAAAAAAAAATTTAAAAACTCTTTAAATAGAGATTTTACAAAATAACATAAAAAATTTATTTCATTGATTTCTGTATTGATACTTCAAACTTAAACTTCTATTGGATTTGTATAAAAAATAATAAAGTGATTTTGTTTTTGAAAAGTTTGATGAGATTAAAGGTGTGTTTCATGCTTTAAAGTATTATAAGTGTAATTTTATGTTTTTTGAATCACTTTTAATTAGAATAAAGACGGACGACAACCCACGGAGTGGTGAAGTCGAAGACGAGAACCTCCTTCCTTGATGGCCGCAAACTCTTCCAGGCTACTCGCACTAGGTCTAGCGAGAGCTATTGATGGCCCCCTTAAAACTCGTTTATTCGTTTCTTACAATGTTCCGTTCACATTTAGCTTGACCTTTCACTTTGCTCTATGGTTTTCTCAACGTCGATCGTTGCACCAAATCCACAGTGTCTCGACGCCACCCTGCGTGATCCATGCTACCACCAAATAAAACACCATATTCATATAATAATATTGCATGAAAATGACATAAACCTGATCACCTTAGGACAAAAAATTAACTTTATCGTCTTCGTAATTAAAATAAAAAATTCTTAAATAAATCACATAAATAATATAAAACGAGTTCCATCCACTAAAGTAAATGACAAAATTAAACAATCATAAACACAACAACTATCTTATCACAATGTGTAATACATTTGACTATATGATTTCACTTAGACCACAATACCATTTTACATGATAAAACATTTTACCTAATGTATTTTCACTAACATGATTATTTAATTATATTAATTAATATATTTTATTATAATATTTCTCACTCTCGCACCCGTGTGTGTGCATTATGAGCAAGGAGAGTGTTTAGAGATTATAATGGTAATGTAATAAATTTGTTTTTTGATGATGAACAGGAGTCTCATTATGTAAAAATTTTAGTTATTCGTAATATTTTATATTTTTATGTTAATTTTTTATAAATAAATATTAAATCTTTGATTATTAAGTCAGATTTATGCGTTGAATCTTAACACGAATATGAGGTCATGAATTTTATAAAAAATTTGAATCGATATGTTAGAGACAAGTGAATTTAGCAAATGACTAATTACTTTGCAGATGCATTTACAAATGGAAATGAATCGACTTAACATGTTCGATGGGTGTTGGTGATCGGATATATGTGGCAAGAACGGGCAAGAATTATTTTGTTCTTTGCTAAAATCAAAGGAAAGCAAAAATTCTGGGATCTGAAATTAAGGCAAGTCCTGTTGGTTTTTGGTGGTTTGTTTGGTACATATATACATATGGTTAGAATTAGAATCTCTCGTTATCTGTTAATTGGATAATCCCATATGGTCTGTGCCGGTATTTGTCGGGCATTAACGCGTGTGATAGGTATGGCGCGTGGGTGTTCCGGTGAATAATTTTTGAAATGTAATTAATTTGGGAATTTGGGGAATTTTGTTTACCATTGCTGTGGTCACCAACGTGGAGGCGTTCCGGGAGTCAGTCCAAAACTGCACTCGCCTTGTCTACCGCGTGGGTCCCTACGTAGGGACCCATCGTCCTTTTTGTGGGAGCTTGGTCAGCTTTGTGTCATCCCCAATCTTCACGTCCGCAATCATTGTGATACTTTAGATTACTAAATATATTTACTTCTAATTGACTAATGATTAAGCTCCCGTCATTTCTTTTCATTTTTTGCTTTGAATTAGTCTATTTTTTCCACGTGAAAAATCAATTTAATAACATTTTTGTCTCAAAATTTTTACATTTTTATCCTTCTCAAGAAGATTTTTTTATTTTTTTATTAAAATACATATTTTTCATACAATTAATAATTTCAAATAAAAATCACGTTAACCTGTCATGAAATAATTAATTAATACACAAACATTAACATAAGAAATTAAAATTGATACTAATAACTAATTATTAGTAAAAAAAAATTGAGATTTTATCAAAAACTCAAAAAGAGATTTAATATTATAATTAGTAAAAAAAGGATTTTATCAGTAAAAACATAAAAATATTTCAATTTATTTAATTTTTATATTGACATAATATGTTAATTTAAATATATAAAAATATCTAGATGGTGTTGGTGTACTAATTAAGTCTTGCCTTTTTGAAAATCCCATGTGCCTGATTTCTAGCCCTTTTCTCTCCCCATGGAAAATATAAACAATTATGGGAAAAGCAAGCTCACCACCCTCTCTTTATTTTGCAGCAATATAGTTGCAAGATTTATAAGAAAAAAATATGCCTTATTTTGAAGCAATAAGCAAGTATGGGTATTACGACTTTAATTAGTAATCATTAACTCGTATTCCTTCAATAAAATAATTTATGTGTTTAAAATTATTTTCTCATGTCATTTTATATAAGCAAATTACAATATTATTTTCCAAAAAACATGACATTTTTAATTGAAAAATTAAAAAAAAAAAAGAAAAGAAACTTTGTCTAGAGTCTTGTCCTTTATGTAATCCTTTTCGATATAAATAAAGACTTCATTTTGGACCAAGACATAAACCCACGTATTATTCGAATTAAAATCGAAGTTTTGTTTTTTTATAGAATATTTAATTTGAAACAAATATCTGAGTTTAACAATTAAGTAAATAGTACAAAATAAAAATATTTATTGTGAATTAATTTATCGAGATTTTATATGTATAAAAACAAGTTTTCAATCTAGTGGAGAAAAGTTTTTGTATCGTTTAGAAGATGGGACCGACGTAATATTAAGGATCTATCATAAACTTTATTGGAACATTGCATGTAGCTATGAATGTGATTTTTGGGGTAAATCTTACTATTGGATTTCACCGTTGCCTTTTTGGCCGGAAATCTTCGTAATGGTCAGCCGATGATTATTGTAGCTGTGACCCACTATCATAAATTCATGGTGCTTGGGCCACCATTAAAAAAAAAAAGAAAAAATTCATTTTCAGCATTATTGATTCTAATAAATTTATGGAGTGGAAAAAACAGTCTGTTGTTAGTGGTTAAACCCACGTTGGCTGGAGCGCGTGATTTGCACCCACAACCGGCCATTTTGTATTTAATTCACCTACCGTTGGATAAAATAATTTGACCTTTTCCTACTGGCTTGGTTTGGTGTGTAATTTTTGGTAAAAACGGCTTTTATGTTGTTGAGTTTTATTTATTATTTTACATTAAAATTTTTTATTTTTTTAAAAATTTATGATCATAGTAAGAGTAAATGTTGTAAAAAAAAAAGGTCTCTTTCAAACACCTTTTGTGCAATTAAAAAGTCCATGTAAGCAAGACAAAATTTATGATAAATTACATAAAATTTTGAATTTGATGTAACTTTATCTTTTTATACAATACATTGATTTTGACTTTAAAAATAAAATATATTTAATTCATAACGCTTTTATCAATTGAGTTTGTTTTGATATTATTTTCATAGAATTTTAATTTTTTTAAAAAAATTATCTTAACAGGGTGTGCAGTATTTAGGTTTGTAAGATTTTAAAAATCTCTTATTATAACTAAATCTTTTGAAATACTTGAGCTGAGGTTATAAAAGAATATATAAAGATAATTAGATGGAATTTTTTTTTAACAATTTATAGAAAAAATAGCAAATATGGAAAGAGTTTAAATAGGGAAAAGAGTTATTCTCGAAACTCTGGACACTAACAAGCGGCATTACATTCAAACGGCAAGAGAGGCGCGTGGGGTTCTGTTAATTCCGTTGGTGTCATAAGCCTACATCGCCCTGGTTTTGCCTTCCTTTAGTTTTTCGATTCTCAACAGAAAAAAGGGAAAAAAAAGGAAGAAGAAGAAGCATTATTTTTTTTCCGTAACATTGTCATCGTTATCACCTTTACAAAAGTCTTTCTTTTATTGGTTAGATTAGGATTGTTTATAGTTTCTGGGTTCTGTTTCTAGATTTGCATAAAGCTGTAAATACATGGGCTTTTTATGCTTATAGAGCCTAAACATTATTTTCTTGTTCTTGTTCTTGTTCTTGTTCTTCTTCAAAGAAAAAAAGAAAGACCATAGAAAGCTTTTTTGGTTTTTCTTATTTGGTATTTTGATCATCTCAGATATTCAATTGAAAAATGTTTCCTGGATTATATGGGTGGCTTTGGTTTTTGATGGAGAAGGGCAATAGTAGCTCCTTCCTTTAAACTCAGGTAAATATGATCATGCTTTTGTGTTCCTTCATTTTCTTGTTCTTAATTCAATTTTATGTCTTTTTTCGAAATATGTAAGATGAACAGATGACAGAAGGGTACAGAAAGTTCATGTTTTGTTTGTTTGCGGTTTTTGGGGTCGGTTTTTTTGTTGGTTCAGATTGGTTGGTGGAGCTGTTGTCTTATGTGTTCATTGTTAAAAAGGTCGGTTTATGTTTTAAGGAAGCTGAAGGGTGGATTTTCATTGTGAACAGGCATATTATTTGGGATGCAGGAGACTGCGGAACCAGACATTGGAGGAAGGAATTGGGCTCCAAATTCTTGGGATCATTGAGATCAAGAATGATTAAGAATCTCATTTTGATTAGTTGCTTTAGATGAATAATGGTTTTTGTGGATGAAATATGCAAATTTTGATCCGGCTTTTTGGTGGAAGATGAAGAAAAGGTCTTCCAATTCATAATTAAAGTTAGGCAAAAGAAGAGTTTTGATTTAGATAACAATGGAGGCACCAGCAACCGAACAGCCGAGTGCTCCTGCTCGAAGGAAAAAGATGACCAAACAGTTAACAGGAAAACGAGAAGATACGCCTCTACATTCTGCAGCAAGAGCTGGAAATCTTGCTGTGGTGACAGAAATCCTTACAGGTACACCGGAGGATGAACTGAAGGAGCTGTTACCTAAACAGAACCAATCTGGTGAAACTGCCCTTTACGTTGCTGCGGAATATGGTTATGTTGATTTGGTTAAGGAGATGATTAACTATTATGATCTTGCTGATGCTGGGATCAAAGCTAGAAATGGTTTTGATGCATTCCACATTGCTGCTAAACAAGGAGATTTAGGTATGTTTTTTATTCATGAATTTTTTATGTTTTTCTTATTAAGAAAGTTATTTTGGAGGTGAATATGAGGTTTTAGTCTGGCCTTGTTGCAGATATATTGGAAGTGCTACTGGCAGTTCATCCAGAATTGGCTATGACTGTTGATTTATCTAACACCACGGCTCTGCACACGGCTGCAACACAAGGCCATATAGGGATTGTGAATTTTTTATTGGAGGCAGGTAGTAGCCTAGCTACAATAGCAAGGAGTAATGGTAAAACAGCTTTACATTCTGCAGCAAGAAATGGGCATGTGGAGGTGGTGAAGGCACTATTGGCTAGTGAACCTGGGATTGCATCAAGGACTGATAAGAAAGGGCAGACTGCACTTCATATGGCAGTGAAGGGGCAGAATGTTGAGGTGGTGGAGGAATTGATCAGAGTAGATCCTTCATTGATGATAAACATGGTTGATACCAAGGGAAACACATCCTTGCATATAGCCACCCGGAAGGGTAGAGCTCAGGTAAATCAGCCTTTTAGCCTGTATCAATCAGTGTAGCCATTTATGTTTGCTCTGCAACTGGGTCACTGTTTCACCTAGAATTTGGACTTCTGGTTGATTGCTGTTGAAGCCAGGTACAGCTAATTAGCTACTCTATAGTTTAATTTTGGGTTTCTAACGAACCAGTTATATTCATTCTCTGTCTTCCTCATCTCCCATTGTCAGAATTTAGGTTTCAATTGGATTCACAGTTTAGTCTTAAGCAGTAGTCCTTATTCAGTTTATATGCAGTTCTTAAAACCATTTGTTTGCAGTAATTGACATATCAATAAACTGAAAGGACAAATTATTATTAAGGAACAGAAATAGAATTGATAAGGCCAAGTTGTTTGAAATCTTCAAACAAAATCCCCTTATTGCTGAACAGAGAATTCTGTTTAATAGTAATTAAATTCTCTGGCTGCTGACTAGATGGCTTATCCTGTGTGTATGAGATTAACAATTCTGAATTCTGATACCTGAATGATTGTACACCGGGGATTAGCATCTTTCCTCTAATAGAATTATTTCAATTATTGTCTTTATTATTTATTATTATTAAGAAAAATCTGCTTCTAATTATTTGTTCTGCCCCCGCTGGTTGACTTAACAAAAGCCTGAAGTATCTCACAATTTGCCCAGAATTTAATTAAACTAGAGGATTAATATGTTGGAAAGCTCAAAACTAGTTGTAATTTTCAACTGCTGGGGGGATGAGATCTTGACAATAGCTGAATCTGTGATGAACCAGTTATGAGGCATGGAATGCTCAATGGAACTCTTTAGCAACAACGGTAAAATGTCTGGTCCTCCATGAATTGTAGTAGAGGTTTATCTGAAACTCCTTTGACTAAAGTTGGATTTGCTCCCCGTTAAACTCATGAGAGAGCAATTTTAATGGAGCAATTTCAGAAGATTTTTCATCATTACTTCTTCAGTTTATGGAGTCAAATAAATGGAATAGGGCAAGAAGCTAATGTAATCTTTTCCTTGTGCAGATTGTTAAGTTGCTGCTTGGATACAAAGAAACCGACACAAAAGCTGTTAACAGAAGCGGTGAAACTGCTATCGACACTGCTGAGAAAACTGGGCACCCTGAAATTGCAACCATTCTGCAGCAGCATGGGGTTCAAAGTGCTCGAACCATCAAACCTGCAGCACCAAATCCAGCACGTGAGTTAAAACAAACTGTGAGTGATATAAAGCATGAGGTGCACTATCAACTAGAGCACACCCGCCAAACCAGAAAGCGTGTGCAAGGCATTGCCAAGAGACTCAACAAAATGCATGCTGAAGGTCTTAACAATGCAATAAACTCCACCACTGTTGTTGCAGTCCTAATTGCCACAGTTGCCTTTGCTGCCATTTTCACTGTCCCTGGTCAATACGTAGATGACCCAAACGACATTCCTCCTGGTCACTCTCTCGGGGAAGCTAATATAGCTCCAAATCCTGCCTTCATAATTTTCTTCATCTTTGATTCCATTGCCCTCTTCATTTCTCTGGCTGTTGTAGTGGTTCAGACTTCAGTTGTAGTCATTGAGAGCAAGGCAAAGAAGCAGATGATGGCGATCATCAACAAGTTAATGTGGTTGGCTTGTGTGCTTATTTCAGTGGCATTCTTAGCCTTGTCATTTGTTGTAGTAGGCACAGAGGAAAGATGGCTTGCAATCGGGGTGACAATCATAGGAACAAGTATAATGGCCACAACTTTGGGCACCATGTGTTATTGGGTGATTAGGCATCGGATCGAGGCTTCAAACATGAGAAGTATACGAAGATCATCACTGGGTAGCAGGTCACGCTCCTGGTCATTGTCTGTGATGTCAGATTCTGAGATTCTAAACAATGAGTTTAAGAAAATGTACGCAATTTAATAAAGATCACTCACGCCAGATCCCTTTTTTCCCCAGCATATGGCGTTTCGGATCACTTTTTATGAAGTGTATATTTCAAGTTGATCATAATCTTCTTTCCTTTCTCAATGCTCTCAAAGGCAAATTAATGTATGACTGAGCAACTTCTGAGGGCAATACCTTCGGCCTCAGAGGCCAACGGCCATGGTTGAATATATATGGTTCTAATTTCTATATCTTTCAAAGCCACCTGGAAATTTTGTAAGCATTTGCAGCAAATGGGAAGAATCTGATAACATGGAGGCAAATGCAGCCAAATCACACCTAGGCAAATTTAGCATTGCAGCCTGGAGGACTAAAAGTAAAGATGGTTTTCTCCTTCTTTTCTCTTGTTTTCTTTATCCCTTTTTAGATGCAGTTGAAATCTAACTGATCTGTCAAGAATATGCAGACGGAAGCATAGTGATGAGAAAGACTACAATTGGACCCCATACAATGAGCAAAAAGAGCATTCTGTCTGCAAAGACTTTCCCCACTGACTGAAAATGAATATATTGCAAAAAGATCTTGACACTGGCCTTCCACTAGAAATCACAAGAAAATGTGGACAAATTTGATTATGGGAAGCTATTAGATTGGTTGACGACTTGGGGATGGGCCATTTAAATGGAAAGTTCAGAGCATAAGGATAAATTTTGACAACTCATATCAAATCAAATCCACAAAGAATAGAGCAAAAGGGCCAAGGCTGCTTTTTCTGCTTTGGCTGAATGCAGAAGCTTAGAATTTTGGCAAATACGCATGGGGGGAAACAGGCCAAACATGATTGGACTTTCTAACCATTTATGAGTGGAACCCATCGTGCATTTAGCATTCATAAAACAAGTTGGGTTGTTGGGTGGCTCTCTCCCTGTTTGCAATGATTAAATCATATTTTGCTTAGATTATTTTATAAACCTATTTAAAAATTAAAATAATTAAAAATAAAGTTAAGAACATACCTTTTTTATTTTTATATAAAGAATATTGTGTTGAATCAAATTTTTGTATTTTTATATTAAGTTAAATAAATTTTTATAAATAATAATAAATTAATTATCATTAGTCAAAATATTACTTATCAATTTAGATTCATGTGGTATTGACATGATATTAATGTGAAGGGTAAAAATGTTATATGACTATATAATTATAGCACATTAGTATATCATGTTCAATATGTCACATTAACACCATATAATATAAAATAACAAATAACATTTTAATTAATAATAATTAATCAATCATTAATCATAAAGATTTATTTGGTTTAAAATAAAAGTATAATAATTTGGTTAAAGAGATTATTTGAATTTTTCTAAATAATTCATGAGTGTTTTTTTAAGTATTATGCATTGTTTTTTCATGATACCAAAATAATAAAAAAAAAGTCGGATAAACTCATTTTTAAAAAAAATAATAAAAAGGTTAAAATGGGCCTCCAGAGTCCAGGGAGGTTCAGATCCAAGGGGGCCCAATAAGTTTCATTGAGGCTTTCTTTAAGGCCCAAAGAGCTTCGGTAGGAAACCCGTTCCTAAAATCGGTTTCAGACTTTCAATCTCTGTGACTCCAAGGCTCTCTCTCTCTCTCCTTATTTTCGTGCCAAACAGAAAACTTTCTTCTCATTTTCGTTTCTTTTCTTCAATTTTCTGTTTGTATCTAAAACGTCGAAAAGGAAGGACAAATATTAAAAAAATATAAAACCCTAAAAAACAGTTGATCTTCGATAGCGATTGGAATTTGGAATAGGAAAGAGAGATGGATGATGAATTGCTAGAATTGCAGAGACAATTCGAGTTCGCACAGCAGGCGAAATCGAGCATCCGGTTGTCGGAACGAAACGTCGTCGAATTGGTCCAAAAGCTGCACGAGCTTCGAATCATTGATTTCGAACTCCTCCACACTGTTTCCGGCAAAGAATACATCACTCCGGTATTGCTCTCTCTATCTCTTCTGTTTGGTTACGGAGAAAATATGAAGGAAAATGATAATAAGAAAACGCATTTGGATTTTTGACGTACTGATGATTTTTTTTTTTTGGAATCGTAATATGAATATTAGCAGCAGTTTGGTTCTCATGAAAATGATGATAGCCAAATGCACTTCATTCGTTCTGGATTGTTATATAAGTTTTAACGGCTGTTTGGTTCCCACGAAACCGAAGGAAAACTCGTTGGCTGCGTGTTTAATATCATTTTATTGCTTTGCAATGTAATATTGGATTTGTTACATGTGAGTTTTAATTTGAATTTTATGGTTGCGATGATCTATGGTACTGTAGGAGCAATTGAGGCATGAAATTGCTGGGGAGGTGAAGAAATTAGGTCGTGTTTCTTTGATTGATCTTGCAGATACTACTGGGGTGGATTTATATCATGTTGAGAAGCAAGCTCAGCTTGTAGTTTCAGAGGATCCAGGGCTTATGTTAATCCAAGGAGAAATAATATCCCAATCTTATTGGGATTCTGTAGCTGAAGAAATCGATGAGAGGTTGCAGGAATGCAGTCAAATTGCTTTGGCTGAGCTAGCTGCACAGTTACATGTTGGCTCTGAGTTGGTGGCATCTGTCTTGGAGCCTCGCCTTGGGACTATGGTATCTCATTTTCCTAGTTTTTACTTTTTTGACTTTGGAAACTAGAGGAAGAACTGTTATGACGGTTTTATTTTTGTTCTGTTAGGTGAAAGGTAGGCTTGAAGGTGGGCAATTGTACACCCCAGCATACGTAGCTCGCATCTGTGCCATGGTTCGTGGTGCATCTAGAGGTATTACAGTTCCAACAAATTTGTCTGTTTTGTGGAGCGCTTTGCAGCAGCTTTTGCAAGAAATGGAAGGAGCCACAGGTGTAGCAGTCGAAGGTTCATTCTTCCAATCCCTTTTTAACAGGCTGGTGAAGGAAGGCGAGGTTCTTGGAACACTTCGTGCAGGAGTTCATTGGACTCCAACTGTATGTGACATGATCGTCTTACTGTTTGATGTTTGTCTGGATTCACATCATAGAATGAACAAATTCTGATGGCAATCAAATTCCTCATTGATAGTACTTTGTAGCCTAGTTGTGATTTTGTTTGTGAAGGATCAAAATCATTTGTGAAAACATTTTGTAATCTAGACTAAGTGGCACTTTGTAGCCTAATGTTACATCATAAAAGGCAGCTTCTTACTGTTTTCTCTAGGTATCAATTTGAATATAAGAATTGAATGATTTTATCTGCAAGATAATAATTATTTAATGAATTTTTTCAATGCTCAAGTTAAATATTTCTAGTCTTTCAATGGGTTCAATTCTTTTTTCTTTCTCCTGGTAAATTCTGAAAAAAAAAAAGAGAAATTGGGAGATAAGAGTGCAGAAATAGGGGAATAGAGGGAGGCCGTAAGTTTATCTTCTAATGAAATTCAAGTTAATTTATAACGTCCTCTTTTTCATTTTTTTAATATTTAGTGTGATCGTGAAACAGGTTTTTGCTATTGCTCAAAAGGAATGTGTCGATTCGTTCTTCTCGCAGGTTTGTAACCTTACTCTCTGAATTTATTTGTCATATTTTGATGTTCAGATGCCTATACAGAGGTATTGCGTGCATCTCATATGACGTATCTCTCAAAGCTGTCCATTCGTATAGTTTTGTGATGGTTTTATTCCAAATGTTTATTCTGTCCATCTTTCCATTAAGTCTGTTGTTTTCATGATCTATAGCTGTATACAATCTATAATGCTCTATCGTTTATATGGTCTTTCACTAATTTAATACCAACTTGAAGATTGTATATTACTTACTACCTTGAAGTCAAACTAATATTTAGACCTTTTAGTTTACTACCATTTTGGGTCTTTGGACCTGTAAGTAAACATATATCTACTAATCCCATGAAGCTGTTGTTTTCATGATCTATAGCTGTATACAATCTATAAGGTATATTGTTTATATGGTCTTGGACTAATTTTATACCAAGTTAACTTAAAGATTTTCATATTACTTCTTAACTTGAAGAATTTCATATACTACCTTGAAGTCAAACAAATTTTAGACCTTTTAGTTTACTACAATTTTGTGTCTCTGGACGCGTAAGTAAAAACAAATCTACTAATGTTACAGCACACGCATCTGTATTTGTTGAAAATTTCATTAATATTTCCAGATTATTAATTCTCAGTGCACAAAATCTTTAGTTATGGCATATTTGAAAATGTCACTGAATATTGTTACTAATTATGTTTTCTTTGCTTGTTAGATAAACATCTTTTAAGTATTGCTTGTGTTTATATTCATCATTGTTTCCCTTTTGCTTACAGGATTCCTTTATTAGCTATGATGCTCTGCAGAAACTTGGTATCTCCCAGCCCATCCAGTTCTTGCAGGTAATTTATTGCAGTAAACTATTAAGACAAGGAACAGTTTGTGCAGTAATTGTGTCGCATTTGATGATTTTATATGGTTTTTATTTAATGAAAATTTGGTTGTATGCTCCAATGTAGTCCAGATATCCTGAAGGCATACCTCTAGTTGCAGCATTTGTTCACCCTTCACTGACTGAGATGTTGGATGCTGCTATTGAAGATGCAATTGAACGTGGTAGCTGGTAAGGACTACAAATAAGTTTTCACTAATCATTACCCATTTATTTTTTCACTCTATGGTATTTAACTTAATCTCTTATTCTAAGATGGAAAATTTGGGGATACTAATTGTTCATGAAGTTTTGAGTTCTTGTAGCATAATCATAATGGACTAGGAAAACATAGCCATCAACTACTATTTGTCTCTGTAGTTCCTTGTCTTGAGACCTCCTCACATTTGTCAATTATTGTAGGCATTATTAGAAATTGAATAATCAGAATATAAAAATTGGAGTCATCTCCTAGTCCTGGTCTCTTCTAAGCAAGGTTCTATAAGGGGGGATGATGGTATAAGCTATACCTTTATTTTGGTAATGCCAAGATATATCTGTTTTTTCATTAATTTGTTTCACCAGCATTTCAGTAAATAGTGCGTATCAGTTTTGATTTGTTTGACTCTTTCTGTGAACCACTGACCACTCTGGCTTCGTGATCAGTCATTCTGCTTTTACAATAGAGAATTGGCCGATGATAATTACTTCATGTTGTTATTTTTTCTCTACTGTATTATGGTGGAAAGTTGGTGACCAAAATATGGTTGTTATTGCTGGTTGATTGAGTTCTTCATCCATTTAAGTGTTCTTCATATTCAGGAATATACTTCTTGCAGATGACATTTAGATTTACATAAAGAATGTTTATGAAGTTTTTCTGTGTTATCTTATTGCATTATGTGCGTCGACGTTGTTTTTCTTTTTGTTTTCTTTTTCCCTGGTCTAATGGGATTGAAAACTGCAGGCTTGATTCTCTTTCTGTATTGCCCGCATCGTTTGGATCCCAAGATGCATATAAGATTGTGTCTATTTGTCCTTCTGTTCAGTCAGCGCTCAAGGTAACTTGTTATCCCTTCTGTGTTTGATCACATACTTCATGTTTATTATATTTATTACGTGGAGATTTGTTTTATGTTTCTTGTCAGGCTAATAAGGCACTCATCATGGGGGATTCCTATATATTTAGCAGCAGCTATGTGAAGGTAGGACTTTCGAGATGAATTGTATTAGGTTGTTCAGATTAGTTGTTGATATTAGTCTTTAGAAACACTTATCACCCCTGCCCTAAATTATTAATATCAAAAGGAATTACTGTATCTGCATACCATGTAAGCCTACCTATATTTATTCTAACATGAAGTTTCTGAGTGGGGCTGGCATATTAGGTCAGATCAATGCAGTTTGCCAGCTATGATTTCCAATGGAAAACAAGGCAATGAGGAGTCAGAGATGTTAATTTTGGTCACTATTATAGTTTTAGTTATGATGTCTTGCATGGAAGCCAAATTTGAACAGCAGGCACCTGATTTAATGCAAATTTATGGAGAAAGAGGAAAACTAGTTTTATCAGTTGAATCCTCAGGATGGAAATCTTTCTGTGTTTTCAGGTTTAATATGATATGGCTGAAATAAATGTCTTTCCTTAAGGGTCCATGATCGCACACAACAGGATGTTGACATGTTCACTTCTTTACTCTTCAAGGCTTAACTTCTCAAATAACCTATCCTCTGCAATTTTGGGACTTTTATTTTCTATTTTTAAGTTTTATTTTTCCTCCTTTTTCAGACTAACTTTTCTTAGCCAGATTTGACGCTCAACAGCCAATGCCTAACCTTCTTTACTTCCCTGTCCATTTCTTTGCATTTTAACATTATTGGTTTGGATGCTTCAGTACTATTGAAGTATGTCTGCATTTATATTATGCCCTCTTTGATTTTGGTGCTCACAACTTTGTCTCTTTGTTGGTTAGGATGTCTATGATCGTTTGGAGAAAGAGATGGAAACCTTTAGCCACTCAAGGTCCTCCACTAACATGCTGGGTGATGATTCGCATCTGGTTAAGGAAGCTAAAGCCAGACAAGATTTAAGCCCTTTTGAAACTGGTAGTGAGAGTGGCAACAGCAAACGTGGTACTGAGAAAGGATCTAAGAAGAAAAAGGGCGAATCCTCTGGGACAAAAACAGTGTCAGCTGAAGGTGATTCAGAAAATGAGGATTACATCCCCACCAAATCTAAGAAAAACCAGAAGAAACGCAAGGATACATCTTCCTCTCAAGTTTCAGATTCAAGAAAAGGAGCTAAGAAAGATTCAATTAAACCACAAGAGGAAATTGTGCCTTCAGAAGAATGGTTAATGCAAAAGCTCATGGTCCTGGTTCCTGATTTTGAAGAACAAGGTCTACAACTTCTAACTTTAAGTTTTGTTTTTTGTACTCTATCAATTAGCTGCTTAGGTGTGGCTTTTCTATCTAACTTTTGATATATTTGGTCATTTGGTGGTCTATTTGTCAGGTGTTGATGATCCTCAAACAATTCTTAAACATCTGGCAGACTATTTAAGACCTATGCTTATAAATTATTGGAAGGACAGGAGAAAGGCATTGTTTACAGAAAATGTGGAGAAAATGAAACGTTTGCTTGATAATTTGCAAAGGAAACTTGATGAGGTTGGCATGGCTGCAGTTGCTGTTTTGTTTTTGGTTGTTTTTTTGACCTAGCATTCTGTAACCATGTCTCTTGAAAATGTTGTTAATTTTCATGTTTGGTACCTTCAGTTAACTAAACTGTGTCCTCTCTCTACAATTGTTGTCTTGTGGCAGTCTTTCTTAAATATGCAGCTTTACGAGAAGGCATTAGATTTGTTTGAAGATGACCAATCCACTTCTGTAAGTTCTTCCTACGGTAATTGATCTTCGGAGAGGTTGCTTTGTGATGAAATGGGTTATGAAAGGCTTTCTCTGTTTTATAGGTTACTTTGCACAGGCACTTACTTAGAACTGTTGCCACTTCGATCGCTGATATGCTTTTCCAAAACCTGGTAGAACTTATGTACTGGTCTTATTTTATTTTGCTTTCTATGGTTCTATTCTAATGATATGAAAGTATGTCTAATGGTATGTGATTCCTCTTTGTAGGATGTGCACAACAAATTAAAAAATGGAACTCAATTTGAAGATTCTCAAAGTTCAGAAGGCATTTCACTTAGCCCTGGTGAAAGGACAGCTATGGTATGAAATGATTTATTACCCATTTATTTTTTATGGCATGAAAAATGCTCGGTAGCCAGTAGTTTTGATATATTGCCTTTTGCTTGTTCAGGCGAAGAGCTTTCCAGGATCTCAGTCAAAAAGGGCTCTTGCAGTGGTTGAAGCTTTGGAAGGGAAGGTCTGTTCTTGTTTGTTAAAACATGAATTATGAGGATTTACCTGATTATAAATCACTATGACAAACAAGTTAAGAAAACCATCATGTTCTTGTTCCTCTTAACTTGTGATATCTCCGTGATGGTTAATGGATTGTAGATACTCTCCATGTATTGCTTATTACTATATTTTTTTAGATATACTTCCTTGAAAACTAACTTGAGACATTGTATGCATCAGCGGGTGGAGACATTCATGGCTGCACTGAGAGACCTGGCTGAGGAGAGGTTGTGTCCTTTCTATTAAACTCTCTGTGGCATCTTTGGGGGGCTTTGGGCAATTTTTTCCCCAGGAGTTAGCAATTATGTTGATTATGCATAAATTAACATTTTGTCTTCCATTTTTACAGTGGTTTACTCTTGAAAAAGCTTGACAAAAAATTGGAAAGAACTCTTTTGCATTCATACCGCAAGGTATGCCTGCTATTATCTTTTGCACAAATGTTGATATTGCTTACTCTACTTGATTATATTGATTTGTGAAAAAAAAAAGAAAACTTATATTGTGTCCGTATTGTTGCAAGACCTTTATGTTAAAACTTTGCAGCAATATTATCAGGCTGGGGTGGTATGTCAAGGCATGTCAGTACACAATTCTCTTTTGTTGCTATTAAAATTCAAGGTTGCACTTGGACGCAAATGGCTTTTTCTACTAGCTCATTGCATGATCAATCTTTCAATATGTTTGTGTTTGTCAAAATCTTCTCTTAATGGTTTCTGTCCTAGTATACTATGGCTGAGTTGGAGAGATGGCAGATCCTTCTTTTTCTAGATGTTGGATGTAGAACTTAATAGAAAGCATAAAGTGGCTCTACGACAGATCTTCTCATGTGCATGGTCCTTGTTTTGTTGTTTTCAGGAATTGACTTCTCAAGTATCTGCTGAAACTGACCCAGTTTCCCTTCTGCCAAAAGTTGTTTCTCTACTTTATATGCAGGTCAGTAAATATAATACCTAATCACCCACCTTTGAATGCATTGTTTTCATTTTTTGATCAGTTCAAATATGGATTCTATCGATAGGTTCACAGTAGAGCTCTTCAGGCCCCTGGAAGGGCAATCTCTGTTGCTGTAACACGATTGAAGGTATGAAGTTGTAAAGCTGTCCTTTGCATGTGTGTTCTTTTTTACCGTATTTTTCTTGCACTCTGTAAAAATGTTTATACAATATTTATGTCCATTATTGTCTTCAATATGCTTTTTTTTCCATCAGCTTGAACAGTCTAGGATATGTGCAGGACATTGGTAAAATCTAAAAACTTATCTTGTGTTACTGTTGATTCAGTATAACACAAGCTTGTGTGTTAAACACAAACGAGCCAGTGTTTTTTGTATATGATGATGGCAAAATAGAAGGTTGTTATACCTACAATAAAACTGGGTGTATCCAACAGGCAAATACAAAAGAAGGGTTCTCTCTTCGTCTAGCAGAAATGCACTCGTGACACACAAAATAACACATAGATAAACTTCTTGATGTCTAAACCATGTTTTGCAACTGTTTCTTATCTTGCATGCCAAACGCGTGGCTTGATTGTTTCAGGATAAACTAGATGATTCAGCGTACAAGATCTTGACAGATTTCCAAACTGCAACGGTGACACTTTTAGCACTTATGTCTGCTGCAACTGGTGATGTGAGTATAGTTATACAATTCTCTTGATCTTGATTTTAAGCAAAGTGTCATTGGTAATTTGGTAGAAATTTCTGAATGAGTTTTGCTAGTTCACTGGGTGACAGTACTGTTTTCATGTTAAAAAATATCTAGGTTTTGACAATGCATTTCAAGTTTACTTTTGAATTCTTTTCACCTACTTCCATCTTCCCAGCCCTCTTTGTTTTTGCATTTCCACACTGGTCATTACTCCATGTAATTCCCTTTTCGGTCTTGGCAGGAACAAGACTGTACGTCTGATAGAATTTTGAGTAAAAAGGAGCTTTTGGGGAGCCAAATGCCGGCACTAAAAGCTTTGGTTTTAGGCTCCTCACAATCTTGAGTTAGGATGGAATCAAATCTCAGAAGGCTAAAGATTGAAAGGTTTTTGCTTCTATAAAATCCCTAGCAGACAGCTGAAGACTAACATCTTTTCTTGAGGCCAGCCATTCCTTATTTATCGTTTCATCGACAGCAATCGGCTTGGCATTTATTTTCTTCACACTATCCCTTTTAAGCCATCTTACTTCTCAATGGGAGCTACTAAGGAAGAGTTGGAATAATGAAAAAGTTATGCTGCTTTGCTACTTTCTCTCTTTCATTGTATGCAATTTTCTTTGCTCAAAAAGCCTTTTCTCAAGGTATGCTACTGATAACTCATCTAGAATCTTTTATCTTGTATCTTCCTTACTTCATGTCATAAACTTATAATTGGCTTAGAAAATCCTAGGTTCCTATCATGGTTTGAACCTCAAATTCATGAGAACACACTACAGATGGCATGTACGGCGTATGAATGAAACACCATTAACCAAGATTACTCAGTTCAATGATTAATCAAACTTGTCATGCATAACAAAATATGAGAACTCAGTTAAAGGTAGGTATAGGAGATTTAAATTTAACCAAACTTTCTTATTAATTCATTGTAGTAACCTGTCAAACATTTTGTGACACCAAGCATTACAGAAGTACTAGTCTCTTCTTAACTCTCTACTCCTAGTACTGGATCTCGGGTTCTGCAAAACTGTCTTTGCACTCTTTCCTTACAAACCTGCCGAGGTGGGAATCCTTTTGCCAAAGTATCCTTGAAATTATCTTCCACACTGATGCATACTTTGAATGTCTGTATAAGATACATGGGACTGGGTGAGGTTAGACTGCAGATCAGACTCAAGCTCTAAACATGCAAACGGGATATGGCGGTCACACACATTTCTCAAGTTTTGCCCATAAATCAAATTTCAAAGTGTTCAGTCTGTTTAAAAAAATTATCTTTTATTGGATACATAAGTTCAATTATTAATCAAATTCTACAATATTTTTCATATAATTTTATTTTTTGTTAATTTTAAAAACTATAATATTATGTAAATTATAATTTTTTGTTAATCTTAATCGACATGACACATCATCAAGCTTGAAAATTTCTGAAACATCAGATCTAGGGTTCCATGTCAACCCAATGAATGAAGCAGGCCAAGTCTGATTTTTTTCAAACAGACTGGAATTTCAGATCAATGCTGAGAGCAGATTATCCTCGGCAAAATGCGGGCAATGATAAACACCAAATCAGGCAACTGATCCGAGCTGATGTAAATATTTATCAGCAGCATTTGTAAAAATGCTGGCCCAGGGGTCGAGATTCTCAATAGCTTTATGATCTCCCAAGTGCAGTGCTTATGTATTAACCCGCGACAAAAAGTAGGGGTATACTAAATGGATGGTAAATAAGAAGAACAAAGTATTGAGCTAAATCATAAAATTAAGAAAAGATTCGAGTCCCACCATTGGTTTTTTAGTCTATGGCTATTGAGAATCTTGGCCCCTAGGCTAACATTTTTCAGTCTACGACATACTTCTTAGCCATTATTATGTCAATGTAAATATAAATCATATGTATCTTTTAATTAAAGCTTTTTTTGTTTAAATAATGTATGAAGAAGTCTTGTCAGTCGTCAAATGTTTGTTTTTTATAATTTTTCGAAAATTAAAATAAAAATTTCAAAATGTCGGTGTTTAATGTTTTTTAAACCTTTTAATTTAAATGCTTAAATTAACAAGTTTGACATGTAGTGGCTGAGGCTATGGACCATTGGATATGTCAAGCTTTACAGAGATTGCTTTAGTTGTTTACTGATGCATAGAACCAAATTGGTGAAGCTGGCACTGAAAGAAACAATTGATGCAACCAGGTCTGTGAGCCATCTGTCTAGGCCATGTCTTAATATTCAGGGCCCGCATCAGCACAGCCTGTTAAATGTGCGGCCCATTAACAAATTAATCGATATAGAGATGTCAACTGGTAAGATATCTATTAATTTCAAAATACCCGAACCCTAACTCTATTAAAAATTAAACATCTTAATCTTATTAACTATCTGAATAATTTTAAAAATTACTATCCTATCCTTAAGCCTAATACATTCGCATTACCCTATAATTACTCTAACTTGTTTAAATATCTGATTAGATAAAAAAATTATTAAAATCTTTTTCATGTGTACCTAATTACTCAATTAACTATTCTAATATCATAACTTTTCTTTAGATTTATATGTTATAAGTTTATATAAACAAAAGTATATATATTGTAATTAATAATTTTAAGAGTTATAATTTTTGTAATGTTAATACAAAATAGAAAGTAAATATATTTATATGTGAAGTACATATATATATACACACACACACACACACACACAAGCATATATAAAAAATATTTTAATATATATAATAGTAATTATAGTCCTTATAAATGAATCTAATATATATATATAAAGTATATATATTAAAAGACATTACAAGTTAATTAATAATTATAATTTCATTAATTAATTTAATTAACTATAGAGGTTTGTCTTTAATTACATAAAATTAAAAAAATAACTAAGTTTTAGAACTATTCTAATCTCACAACTTTTCTTTAGGTTTATATAAGTTTATATAAATAAAGTTTTATATATTATAATTAATAATTTTATAAGTTATAATTTTGTAATGTTAATACAAAATATAAAGTAAATATGTTTATATATAAAGTATATATATACTACAAAAATTTAGTGTATATATAATAGTAATTATATTTCTTATAAATTAACACAAAATATAAACTATATATATTAAAAGACATTACAAGTTAAATAATAATAATGGTTTCATGAATTAATTTAATTAATTATATGGATTTGTTCTTAATATCATGAAATTAAAAAAAAACACTTAAATTCCAAAACTATTCTAATCTCAAAAGCTTTTTTTAAGTATATATATTATAAGATTATATAAATAATGCTATATATATATATATATGATAATTAATAATTTTATAAGTCATAATTTTTGTAATGCTAATACAAAACAGAAAGTAAATATATTTATATTAAAAGTATATATATATATATAATAGTAATTATATTCCTTTATAATATGATACAATATTTATATTATTTAAACATAATTAACAATCTAATAATTTTTTAATTTAAATGTATTAATGTCATCATATTAATAATTAGAGTAATCATACTTTTCATATATTTGTTAGTTTTTAACCAAAAAAATTGCTTGTAAAGTTGGTAAAAATTATAAATTTTTAATTTAATTATTAAAATAATAATAAAATATTTATAAATAGTTATCGAGTTTGGGCAATGGATACCAACAGAGTAGTACTTGAACCCGATACGAGTAGTGAAATTACTACCCAAACTCCATCTCAAACTCGATTATAAGATACCCTAACCCTTCATAATCGAGTCGGGTATCTGCGAGTACCCTATAACCAGGTACCCATTGCTATCTCCAAATCGATCCCCATTCAACACCTTTATAAATAAACTTCCAACAATCAAAAATCTAATTTTTTTTTAGTAAAATACTTAGACCCTTTTAAGTTTTAATTAAAATTTCACCCGAGTTTATTAATTTTGAATAAACACTTCGCATAAAACAAAAATCTTTCACTAGATACATATGTTCAGATTTAATCAATCTTTAGTGTTTTCATTACTTTGATAACGTGACAATATTAAAAAAGTAACTTTACTTTTTATTAATTTTAAATATTACTATTATATAAATTACATATTATTTTGCAAAAAAAAAATATTCTTTTTGGGATGGGAGCATCAAGGGAAAGAACACCAATCTAATACTCCCAAAGAAGGGGAACCCCAGATCAGTGCTCCCAAGGGTGCTCCCTTGAGCACTTGCTGTGAGTAAGAAACAAGCTTACATGACAAGAAGTTTTGTTCCTCTTAAAATGAATCAAGTGAAGTCATACATTATTATTACTAATGGAAGGAATATACAATTGAACCTTAAGATCAAGTACAACAAACAAGATCCATTCTTAAAGACAATATCCTCAATAAGCATAGGACCCAGTAGTATAAATACCTATTCTATCAAGGGTTGGGACAATACAATTGTTGAACTTATATATATTATGATTAAGCACGCTAATAAGAAATTCGAGAAGTACAAGAGGAGAAGTCTTCAAAAAAAAAAAGGAATTTAGTTGGAATTGGTTGATCATATCCAAATTGGCGCTCTACTATATGAAGAGAGTACGTTTCAATAGACAATGAATCTTTATCAGTGCCTGAACTAGTTATCTCAATCATGGAAGGCAATTGAGAAAAATGAATGCACACCAAGAAGCTTAATCCTCGTAAGCTCAGTTTTCAAATCCCAAATATATGGAATAGCTATTTGTACAGAGAAGTGAAACTAACTTAAAACAAGTGACAAGGTCATGAGTCACTTTCATATTTGACATATTCTAGAGAGCTTGGCTTAGTGGTTTAGAAGACTTTCTCTTAACCTTCCTTTGAAGTATATATGTTTTACCTTTTTTTCTTTCTTTTCTCCTTAAGAATACACTTGGCGTATGATCAAATGTCACTATTTCATTACCCAAAACTTACACCCAAGTATATGACCATTATTTTTATATCGTATAAATTGTCTTGAGACTCCTTTAAACATTCTCTCGATTAACCATTGGTTACTCCCTTTAATGAATTTATCTAACCTCACATAGCAATTTGATTTCTTGAAAGTTATTGAAAGTTAAAGAATGTTGTTGTCAGTGCGGCCATATATATATATATATATATATATATATATAATACAAGTATAATTAGCTAATAATTTGTCGAAAACATTTTAATTTTAATAGGAGTTCTACTCTAATCCTAACACAACCACTTGGAGTTTGAGCAGTAACTAGTGCAAGTTAAAGATTTTAATTTTAATAAGAGTTCTGCTCCAATCCAGGAAAAACAGATTAGCTATCTGATGAGTATTTTTAATATTTCAATACAAATGAAAATTAAATTTCAGAAGCTGCAATACATCCCATCCTAGAAAAAAGGATGAATTCATATTAAGGCTTTCTTCTCTTCGGGAAATAAAACTTGCAGGTTCCCTGGTAACCCCAAAATCAGGAGATGAACCACAAGAAAGAGGTATTTTCAGAGGCTTGTTCTATACTAAAGAATGAGGTTGAAGTTGGAGGAGAAACTCCAATCCAAAGGCGCGCAAATCCTACTCTTGCTCAAATAAAACAGCACAATGAAAAAGTGACTGCGAGGGGTTTTGACAACATGATATCAGCGCGATCAAGTTCTTGAAGGACTTAAAACCATTTGGTTTTTTCAGTTGTTCTTCAGTAATTTGCTACGCTAATCAATGTTGATTGAGTCATGGCTTCATCCAGTTTACATTCAATCCCACTCGTTTACAACAAGAAAAATACACAACTATAAACATCATTCAACAAGTTCAAAACAAAATCATAAAGACAATCCCATCCAAACGAAGGCAAAAACAAAAGTGGGTTAGACGTGCATAGCTTTGATGGAACCTTTTCTCATAGCTCAATAAATCGAACCTGTTCCCTTGTTCTAGAAATCAAACCTTTTCGCATAAGCCAATTTCTAATGTGTACAAAATCATAAAAGAAAAAAATGCAAGCATAACCATGGTAAACACAACCATTGCTAAAGTAAGCACTTTGAAAATTAGCATGTCATCTTTTCTAGTCTATTTGGTGTTCTGCAGTTGGATTACTAGAGCTGTTGATTGGAAAGCGCTTGCAATCAAATCCATGAGTAATGCGAGTTCTATAATCTGTAAATGAATAAAAAAGAAAGATTATAATAAATTTCGAAAAATATTTACTGAGAACACTCTCTAGAAAATGATAGCATCAGAATGCAAAGTTCGAATTGCCAGTTCTATTAAAGATAAAATAAACATATTACTCTGTTTTAAAACTCACAATTAACTTTTTCATTAGCTACTAATTTTTTTGACTCTATTTTAAAAAAGAAAACTTACCCCAGCTCTTGGTTTTGCTTGGCCTTGATTCTCAGCAACATTGGATTTAAATTGAACAATTCCTTGTGCCTCAAGAAGTTGATCAACATTGCCTTTTGCAATATTGATTAAAGCAAGACTTTCAAGATCTAAATATTTGTTCTCTTTGTAACTCTCTTCAATCCCACTGCATTTTGGCACCATATTGTAATGAGTTCTTTTTTTAAGTGGTTCCATGCATAAGACGTTTTTGATAATAGACCTCTTCATAATTTTAACTATTTTTAGCCAAGAGAATTAAAATTTGAACAAAATTACTTTTTATGAAACCGACTCATTTATTTAGCTCCCCGTCTCAACCCGAAACCTATTAACAGGTCAAGCATGTGTAAGTCTGTGCCTCAAACCGACTCATATTCTTTGAGCTTTTCTCATCGAACTATTCATCTCTGAAGTATTTTTTACTAAGAAGAAAAATGTTTAAGCATTTTGAATATTTTGGATTAGTTTTTGATACACGAAGAAAACCTTTCCGCGTTTTGAGCATTTTTAAGCATCTTAAAGTGAATTTTTATATATGAAAAAAAAAACCTTGTCAAGTAGGTATATTTGTTAATTATGTTGCTAAATGGAATATGATGTATCGTTTGAAGTTATTGATCTTGTTAAATAGAATGCAGTAGTTTTGGTAGTTTTTGAGCATTACGTGGCTAATTTTTAGACATTACATGACTGACTTTGAACATTACGTAACTAATTTTTAGATCATTACATAATTAGTTTTTAAGTATTAGGTGACTAGTTGATATGACATTATGTGACTAATTGATAGGCATTGTATGACTTGTTAGTAAAACATTGCGTGACTAGTTAACAAAGCATTGTATAACTTAAACATTACTTAAAAATCAATAACGTAATGCTTAAAAACTAACTATGCAATGCCTAAAACCAATCACGTAATGCTTAAAAACCAATCATTGAGTGATTAAATCATGTAATACCTATCAACCAATTTTGCAAAACTTAAAAATCAATCTAATCAATTTCAACTCCTCATGAGCATGGAATTCTTGCATCACATGTACAGATCACTTGATTGATGAGGAAGAGCTTAATGACCTGCTTCGACAGCATGGTCTGAACTAATTTTGCATATGTTTATGCATCACATGTACATATCAGTTGATTTCAAGTTTTGAATAAGATCAATTTGTCCATCTTAAGAGAGAACAAAGCAATAACAGATCATCCTCAAAATTCCTAGCATTTCGCATTTTTCCCATTCATTTCCATTATTTTAGGAAGCAACGTTGTTGAACTGCACATAAAATTACTGAATATACTTTCATGCTAGAAACATGGAAGTGCTTGAAAGAACTGAACACAAATGGAGTAAACCCTGTAATGGTTTAAACCAATAACACTAATGACACTTTAAACAGAAGGGGGTTGAACCATCGAAGGCATTGGGATAGGAAGACTCCAAAACAAGTCCTCGAATCCCAGGGGCTTGAATGACTGACTAGAGTAGCATAGGTGGTAATTATGGTACTAACAGTATCGCCCATTAGATTTTTCATTGCTATAGAAAAGAAAACTGAAAAGCGACCTCATTGATAAAGATTAATAGATGCTGAAATTGCCAAATCCGAAAAACACTAATGCTGCAAACTGATGTCCTAATGAATGAGTTACATGCTTAAGCTTTACATTTTAAATGACAAAAAAACTTGTTAATGTTGAGGTAAAGCTGGTCTCTTTTCCAACGCCTCGTATTGGATAACAAAATTATCCTGCAGTCAAGATATACAGTCAGCATTCAGCAACTAGAGTCTCAGTAAGAAGCAACATGAACTTTCAAAAGAAAAAAGAAAGTAAGAAGCAACATAAGTAATGCCAAAGGAATAGACTATGTCTGACCTTACGGATCGTTTCGAATGAGCTTGGATCAAAACAGTGATAAGAAGATCTCTCATACGTGTTTGTCTTGACTAGTGGCTCCAAATTAGGGACTCTTAAGAACCACAAACGATGCTCCTTGTGGTAAAACCAGCCTCTGTTATAACTGCCAACAAGAAGTGTTAAATGAAGGTTGGCAAAAAGAATGTGCATAAATATCACACAACGCAATTCATTCAGTAGAGAGCATACAGTTCATTTGCAGCATATAATTGAGCTTCATCTTTTGGCATGCTGCATTAGAAACAGAGAAAAATAAATGGCTAAGAATAAGATCTTGGAATATACAATACAAAAGCAACCAACATATAGAAGTATAAACACACCTGTAAAAGATATAGAATAATGTGTCCACTGTGAACTTAGAAAAATAACCTTGCTGCATACACCAAAAAGAAATCAGAACTATAGAAGAAAATTCAGACACTTGCATTAAGCAGGTTCTCAAAGGGCGAAAAGAGGAGAACAGCTCACATGTAAAGCTGGTGGTTGCTTAGCATAATAACATTGTGGCACAGTGAACTCTGGGTCACCCTTAGCTGGTTCATCAGACCATGGAGAACCAAAATTCTTGTGAAGATTTTCCGAGGAATTCAAATTTAACCCAAGTGTTGTCAGATCAATTCCAAGAGCAAGGGAAGTCAAATCAGGATCACTCATCCTAATTACACTTAGCAAACCAAGTAAACCAAAAGGATCTGGATTAGACTGTGCAGCCTGCATTGATTTCATGCCCGGTTCCCTAAATGACTGATTGACAGCTGATATCTGTTGCAGTCGAAACTGGGACTGGTTTGGGTGTTGCTGATACTGTTGGATGATCGGGTCATAACCCATACCAGAAACCGTATTTTGGGAGTTTAGAGGTCTTAGGCCTATTCCAGGTGGTCCGCTTGTCTGAAACAAAGATGAGAGGATTGGTTAGGACCAATTCTATTTATCATCTACAAATAAGATAAAAACATCAATGCACATATGAACAATGTTTATCATAAGAAATTCAAATCAATTGCTTCAACTTTCAATGGATCCTTTCTTTCCCATGCTGTAATAAGATTAAACGAAAGGGATGAATTTCACTTTCTTCCAGTCTGACCAACACTGAATCTCCAATCAGTCCACCTACCGAAACACTCTTCACATATGAATTATGATGTTTTAAATCAATTATGAATCTGTGCTCCCATGTACCATTTGAGAAAGATGCAGACCAAATAAAAAAGACATTTTTCCCTGTACCCCTAATAACCACTTAGTTACATTTGCAAGAAACCATTTACAGCACCAGACTACCACACCTGCGAGTGGTAGCTCGAATGTGAAGATGGGAAAATATCTGAGCCATGTAAATGGAGAAGATCTTGGTTGTTTACAGGTGAAAAGGAGACACCACTACTACTGGCTGACGGAGCATGTTGCTGTTGCTGCTGTGGGCGATGAGATGAATAGGATCCACCCAAGTTAAACCCTGCAGATCTCCCCATCTGTGCAAATTATACACAAGTATTAGCAAAAACTCATAATTGATACAGCACTATAATATTAAATTTTACTCTATTTTTTTAAGAAAATGAAGAAGAAAAGGAAATAAATAACTCATAATATGTACAGCGCAGAATCATTCAAAGAAATAAGAATATAAAAATAAACCAGAATTTTTCAAATTTGTAAAAGTAGAGACTCACAGAGAAGTGCTGAGATTGCATCATTGACATGGTGTTGTCATGAAGTTGTTCTTTCTGGTGCAAATCCATTGCATAATCAGCATTACCACCTGTACAATGTATAATAATATGGTCAAGAACACAATGGTTAAAAAAACAATAATGGCATCATGCAAATGAAAAGTAAGCTATTAAATGCAATGATAAAACTACTAAAAAAATTTAGTAGAGACAGCTAATATGCTAGAACGACTTTAAGTACTGATATAACTTGAAGATAGATTCTAAAGTACACAAAAAGTAATAAATAAATACAGCATTAATTTCTGTGAACCAGTAAGTAAAAAACATTAAATCAAAACCAGGTCAAAGAATATCCATGCACCTTTAAATCCAGGTAAAGCAGGGAAATCTTCATTTTGAATACTGAACTCTTGGTTTTGTTGAACAATGGGACTAAGACCTTGTTTTCGTAATGAACCTGAAATTTATGAACTTAAATTATTAGAACTTAAGCAACAGGAAAAAGGACAAATAAAAAATGAATGAAAGCCTCTTTCTTCAATTACCCAATTGACCTTGAGGCCCTCCAGCGGAACTAGGACGACTTGTCAACTGGGGGAAATCATTATTTATGTCAAAAGGGGAATTGTCATTTGTGTTCACATCATTCAACATTCCCATAGAGCTAAGATTGTTCACAGCTTGAACATGGCTTTGGGAAAGTGGACCCCCAGCAGCAGGATAAGAACTGCCTAGCATCGAAATTACCTGAGGAGATCCTGAATCCAGAGAGTGTCATTCATGTTAACTTAGCTAAACCAGTAAATCCACAAGATATAAATGCAATCATATAAATGCAATAATCCAAACAATAAAAAAATGAAACATGTAGTCACGATCAGCTAACAATAAGAATCACATCAACTTCTAATACTGAGAAGTTTAAAGAGAGCAGCTACGAAGAATAATGCAAGAAAGGAAGCCAGAATACTCCTCAACTATAAAGAAATTGAGAAAGACAGAGAGGGGGTAAATTAACCAAAAATATGCACATCATACTGATTTGTGCTAAAAAAAAATTACTATCATAAATAAAAATAGAATGCAAGGGCATTTATAGCCAGCAGCAAAAGTAACAAAACTTGTTTTGCTCAAGCCAACAACAAAATATAGGGGTAATAGTTCATGAAGCATACCTTGCGGAAGCACACCACTCATCAATCGATTCTGTCCCTGCACACTTAAACTTCCAGATCCACTATTGGCAGCTAAATTCAAACGAGATGCAAGACCAGGTACAGATAATCCTCCTCCAGAGCTTATGCTCCTCCCAATGTTGCCTCCACCAACCATGTTTCCCATAGAACTTGTTATCCTAGGACCTGCATTTCCCAAAATTGGGGATACTCCCAATCCTGGAACAGCATTCCGGTTACCAATTGCAGCAGAGGTTGGGAGAATCCCAGGAATAGAACCACCAACTCCATTTGTGTTACTACTAAATCCAGGGTTTCCTACAACACTAATACCTCCTCTATTTGTTACTCCTGAATGTCCATGGGAGCTGCCATGAGATAACTGCAAAAGTGGCATCCATAAGAAAATGAAGTACATAGTAAAAGAATGTAAGATTTTTATTTTTCTCCTATTATTTTCATTTTTATGAGTGTTTACCTATTGCCCATGCATGAGGAGGAAAGGAAACATGCAGCGTAAAAAGGTCCCAATCACAATATGGAAGGACTATTACACGTACCTGAGAAAGAGCAACAGGTAGATTATTTGATGTAAATCGTCCACCAGAAAGGCTCCCAGCAGGCTGTTGAACCCCACCAGACGGAACATTATTTAACGTTGAGTTTCTTGATGTAAGCGTACCAGGTATGTTGGGAACATTAAAGCTACCATGAATATTATGCAGGCCCTGAATAGTTCCTGCAAAAACAAAATGCAATTGCATGAGTTTAGAAGACCATAGATGAGAGGAAATCCAGTAAAATCTACCCACCAGTGTGATGGAAAACAGGGGAGGCTGCACCAGACTGACCAGAGAAAGATGTAGCAAAAGATCGCCCGCTACTGTCTGGAAGATTTGATGCTGATCCGTTGATAGAAGACTGCAGTCAGATGCACATTATAGTTTCCAGTTAAAAATAAGACATGTAATTAAAAATACGAACAAAAACTTTCCAGGAAAAAGAAATCCAATTTAATTGTAAATATCAATTAAAAGATACAAGACCAAAAAAAGAAGAAGATTTCTAGACATTCAACCATCTATGATCTAGAAATGCCACCAATTTACTTTTCAAGGAACACATTCATACTCTAATGTACTAAAAATCAACATGCCATAACATATTGATATCAACAACAAGCACATTCACATATACATAAACATATAGAAGCAACAGAACCCAATATGTTGCATCTAAAAACCACAAAAAAGGGCATATCTAGTTATCTACCGCTCAAAGAACAAAGTGCACCTAGAGAAGCAACATACTTCATTAAGATAAAGGAAAAATAACTGGTCCAAGAAACTACATTAATTTTGTAAAAAATTGCAATTCTGAATAAATTGTTCAGTTAAAAGTGACAATACATTAAGTAACCCCGACATTGCACAGGTGTCAATAGGTCATGCAAAAAATCATTCCTCGTTAAGAAGCAGCCCTTGATGTCTTGAGTATAAATACACTGAATCCTGATTTGAGAAGCTGTTACAATGAGTATCAGCTTATAGCCTGAAAAGGACAACATGATTGTCAGAAGCTAACCCCAAACTGCTATAAAGGAGGGGAGGAGTTCAGGGCAGTCAATGCTGAACCAAACCCAATGTCACTAGCAATACAATCCCAAATACTTAAGATACATATAACAACAATAAACTAAACTTTTTCTTCCTATTTAGGCTATGTAATTGACACTTGAGAAAAAATGCCCAGTTAAGATTTTCAGAATCACATTTCTTTTTATACCACTCATTTTTTTCCTCAAATTAAATGCAAACCACAGAGAAAAATCGAGAGACATATTACAACGTAACATATCTTAAAATTAATGGACTTTTATTTGTTCCTTCTTTTAAAATATATAGGCAGATAGCATTCCCAATAAATCAAACTCTATAGCATATATTTGAAATCCTTCCGCCTTGAAACCTTTATTCAGTGTTGAAATTAAGAAAATTTTTCATGATAAGAAAAGACAGCAATCTTCAAACAAATATAACAAATAACATCAATAAAACTAAACCATTTGGAGTGAAAACATATGAGAAAACCAAAAAGAAAAGAGAGAATAAGTGCAATTCAGTGAAGGTCGTCCCCACAAACTAATCATTCGGTTTTTGATAAATGAGAAGAAAATGGACTTTTATTAGATTCCTCATTTCCAATAACTAAATCCTCAAATATTTTGAAAAGCATTAAATAAAAAACCCTTAGACTACTATGCAGGTCAGTTCAGTTGAGCTAATCGAAAGGACGGTATCCACATTTTTCCCACAGTTTCTCAGTAGCCAAACAGCGGCTTAAAACACAGACTCCACTATCCGTTAAATTCCTTTTAAAAAATATTCAAAGAAAAATTAAACAAATCAGAATTCACAAACAGAATACTAATCTAAAATCTACACTAAGAAAATGAAAAAAACAATAGATCGTAAAAAAAAAAATTTTAAAAGAGATGAACTCAGTGCGATTGAAGATCGAACTCAAACGAGTTAAGATCGACTCGGAACAGAGAGTGAGAGTTACCTCAAAGGTAGATCAACGAGCGAGAGTGATATTTAATTTTCCTTCTATTTTTCCTGTGAGCTGAGTCAAAGAGCGAGTTCTTGCGTTTTCCTTTGGGTCCAATTTCTCTTCTTCTTCTTTTTTTTTTTTTTGCCCTAAATCGAATGAGCAAAAGGAAGAGAACAAAATAAAGAGTCGCGCAGGGAAATTGGAAAACATGGATGCTTTTTGATGATAAGTATAATGGAAGATGGGCAATGTTCGCGTGCGGTGATATTACTTTCGTTTAGTGTGGTCATCGACTTATTGACCTTGATGTGACGAGGTTTTTTCGATCTTGAAGGGTTTATGTAAGACGTGATTTAGGAGATTTTGACTGGTGGGGAAATTTTTATTGAGAAGGGATAAGTTACAAATATGCTTTATGTTTCCCAAATATTTGAAATTTTTCATGAAATAATTTATGAGGAAAATACTTGTTTGAGAGTAAAGGGTAAGTCGAGATTTTTATCTATTATTATTAAAATTAAATCATTATGATATCTGATTATTGTATTGTTAAACGTCATAATATTACACCAATTTTCTGTATTTATTATGAAAATTTTGAGTTTTTTTAATTTAACTTTTAAGACCATGTAAGAGAAATATTAAGTTTTTTTTGTTTTATAATATCTTACTATAATATTATTAAAGTTCATAATGATGTATTATTTCTATCTTAATTTATGATAATTGAAATGTATTCGATATGTACTTAAACTTTTCAACAAAATATTTCACAACGTGAAATGTATAAGATTTATCAAATCTCGAGTTCAATTATTTCAATATTTCTCAAATATATTTCAAATATATTATATGATTTTAAGAATGTATATTTTAAGTTTAATCCCATAATTTATTAAAAAATGGAGGTGGGCTCAATACAATAATCTAATCCAACCATAAGTTTGAACTTTTATTATTAAAATAATATACTAACCATAACTAAAAACAAAAAACTGAGTCAGAAAATAACACATGGGCCAGGCTAAGCTAAGCCTGAGATTAAACATCAAAGCCATAGCCTAACCAGATGTCAACTGGTTTGTAGCCCCGGCCCAATCTATGCTCTACATAAGGCCCTAGAATACATCTTCTCCGGCTGATTGCTCCACCTGGATGTTCACTCTAAAATCATTGACTAAACTCTGGGACATTATGTTATTCGTCTCCTGCCTCTGCTTTTCCCCTGCCTGTGGCTTTGCCATTAGGCATGTTGGCTCGTCTAGCTTGCCCTGAAATTAAACCCCAAAAGAAAAAACAGGGTGGCATTGTTTCTTAAACAAAGCTAACATTCATTGTATTTTCAAACTAGGTTTTCTTTTTGTTAATTTCCTTGGAACTGTACTTTCAAGGAATTCCACTTTAGTAAAAAAGTGGTAGTTGCCTGTTGGGATAAGTTGCTTATTACTAACCTGCATTTGTGGTAGCAATGGCTGCTGCTGACTTTCTCTTCTGATAATTTCCATAGAAAAAACTTGGAGGAGATGATTTCCCGTCATAGTTTCCATAGAAAAAACACGCCCGGACAAGAACCTTAGAAAATTTGTCAGCTTCAATGGAGTAACAGCTTTTCTTCGTATCAGTGAAAACCCTTAAAGTGGTCATGGGTCTATACAATGGTGTGATAGATTGCACCTTTTACGGACTCACCATGTTGAATGTAGTTTTCATCTCCGACCGAACGAATGGAGTAGCCATCATCGTAAACATCAGATGCTCCACAGTCGATTCTCACAGAAATTCACCAAAGCAAAAATGCTTTAGCATTAACTCGTAAAACAATTCTACAAAATTAAACACCATACAAGCAAAGTGAAACTTTAGTACAAGAAAATATCTGAGGCTTATATATATATATATGCATATAAGCTTACCATCAGCGGTAAGAGTGGAAAATGCAGAAGCTGCTATGAGGATAAGAAATGAGAGATAGGTAGCCATGGCTGTTTGAGGGGGAGGATGGACAGTTGACATGCATAAGACTTGATGCCCTTAATTTAAACAGAAAAGTAGTGAACTATTCACTATTTAGTCTTAGTCGACTATATATGGCGTAGTCATGGGGTTATTATTCCAGCAAAAAATACCAGAAGGTAACTACTCGTGCCTGGTTTCTAGGATTTCGTGGATTATCTTCAATCCTCGATGACAAGCCATCATTGTTGTCTGAAATTGAAATTTGTCACAGATATATGGCCAAACTGGTTAATGTATATGAATCAATAAAGTTTTTTGTTTAATTGGTCGAGCGTAATAACTAATAAGATTAGTAGCTAGATTTATGCATTTGAGTCTATTTGAAATCAATATTTAATTTTCTATTTCTAAGTACACATCATCACTCACAATTAAATTATTTAATTCTTATTAATCAATTACAAAATTATTATCTTGTTATAAATAAATTGATAAATTTATATCTGTTTGACACAAATTCTACCTCCTTTTGTATCATATTACACGGATTGAGTTTGGAAAGCTCTAGTCTATCAATGCCTCAATTGTTCATGTTTTCCCTAATACTATGTTACACGGATTGACTTTGGAAGACTTTAGTCAATTAGTGCCTCAATTGTTCAGTTTTCCCTAAAGTGTAGGGTGTTAGATATTTTCTTTCACCGGTAAGAGGTACAATTTGGCAAAAGTTGCAATTTGAATTGAACATTCACATTGCTTGTTGGCTGGGACTGAACTAACCAACTTTTATTTAGGATTAAAGATGAAGAAGAATAAAAGTTAAAAATTTTTAAAATCAATATGTTGAATTTAATAAAAAAATTAAAAGATTCATAATAAATAATAATTTTATATAACATATAAATAAAAAAAATAAAAAAAAAACTTATAATAATCCCTTAATTAGAAAAGTTGGAAAGTTGTGCTTGATGGCGTGCTGACTTAACGGTAAGAGAATCATTTGAACGATTTGTATTTTTTTTTAAAAGAATTTGTTAATTATTTTCAAGTTACTCATATTTTAATCAAATTTAAAAAAAAATTAATACAATCAATATCTAATATTCTTATTTTATTTTTATTTAAATTTAAAATACTAAATATAAAATTATAATGTAAAAACTATAAATAATTAAATATGATATATATTATTAATATTTTTTTCCTATAATCAAGATTTTGTTTCACGCCCAACTAATCATTTTAGTAATAATAATAAAGATTAAGTACAGCAAGGAGGGGATCGAAACCTTATCTCTAGAATTACATGTGTGATAAGGGATAGAATTCCTAATACAAGAATTACCATCTTTGCTTTAATTTTTGGTGCAAAAGATAAGTAATGTGCCTGAGTACAAGGATCTAAGAAAAGTTTAGAAAAAATAACAATACAAGGAAAAAGGAAAACAGCGCAACATTATAACTTATAGTTAAGAATTACATATATAATAAGTTTTTAATTTTTAAAGATTAAAATCATGAAAAAAAATTTGCATAATAGATAAAAATATATAGCAAGTAGAAGATAGAACTCACGTAACACAAACAGAAGAAGAATATGGTTGATGGTTTGTAAAAATTTGAAGAAAAAAATCTATAGAAACTTAGAACCTATGAGTAAATAGAATAGAAATAAAAAAAGTAAACAAATAATAATAGGAAGAAGAATATAAAAGAAAACTTTACCTTCTCTTAATTTCACACAAGGATGGTGAGTAGCCTCTGTCTTTCATTGTTCAAAAATCTCTCTTGAAGAATGAAGTGCATTTCGATGGTGAGTTATAGAAAAGTAAAAATAAAAAAAAAAGTGTGGAGAAATTTAAATTAGGATAAAGTTGAGTAGGGATTACAAGGTCATTTTATTAATTTTTTATTTATATTAATTATTAAATAAAAAAATTATTGCTAAATATCCAAATAAGTTACGAACTATATCAAGAAAGTCAATTTAGTTCTTATTCTTTTATTACATTCAAATAAGCCCTTTAATTTTTATTTTAAGCTAAATAAACATCTTAATTTTTATTTTGAATTAAATAAACCCTTTTACTATCTATTGACTAACTTTTTTCAGTTAACAGTACAATCAATAATTTTTTATGTCACATCATCTATCATATGGCTTGTTGACTTGTTATCTTCAACGTTACGTGACAAATAACGTAACATAAAAAATTATTGATTTGAAATTAGGGTTTTTCTTTCCAAATGTCTAAAAATTATTGGTTATGGATTTGAAATAAAAAATTAAAAAATTAATTATTTCAAATTGATTATATCATTTTTTTAATAGATTACCATCCATCCTTATTAACAAAAACACCTAATCTAACTTTTCAATTTGATTGAGACTATTATTACTCAATTAAAAGTTTATGTAAAGAAATTCGAAAATGCCTAAAAATGATGTTAAGAAAAAGAAGAGTAAAAGTAAGACACACAACATTTATAATACTAAAATTAGCAAATATACACAATCTTGATCTACAATAAAAGAAAGTCAAATACTTCTCTTCTCTTCCCAAGAATCTGTAAGGAAAATATGATACTCTTCTTTTTTTTAAAATTTGTAAGAGAAATTTGATTGTGTTGAATTTTATTTGTCAATAATAATAGATTTTCTCTCCACATCTTTCACAGATTTTGAAATTCAAGATTATCTCTAAAACAATTTTTAGAAAAGGAATAGAAATTGTAAACAAGGAAACGACATTCTGACAATAAACTACAATGGATTTAGGGAATGTTAAAAAAAGTAAAGGTTTTTTTAAGAAAAATGAAAAGATGGTAATCATTTAAGAAACAACAAACAATTAGATTTTTCTTTTAATTTTTTGTTTCAAATCCCTAATCAATAATTTTTAGGCATTAGAATAGATAAAGAAAAAAACTCAATTACTAGTCAGTGATTTTTTATGTCACGTTAGTTATCATGTGACATTGACGTTATCAACATGAAAGATAATATGGCATCAAAAATTGTTGATTGTATCGTTAAGCAATAGAAGTTAGTCAACCGTGTGTAAGAAATTTATTTGATCCAAATAAAACTTTAAGTATTTATTTGAATCTAATAAAAAGATAAGGGTTAAATTGATTTTCTTGATATGATTCAAGAGTTTATTTGTATATTTAATTAAAAATTATTTTAAAGATATCATTATAAAATATATATAATAAATAATTTTAAAATTTTTGAAGAAACCGTAAATGTATTACCCTCAACCCCTGCTTATTGGGCTACTTTCGGCGTCAGTCAATGAAAGAACAACCAAAGTTGATTTCTAAGGCAATGGAGCATTTTTCACCCACTCGATGAAAATGCAAAACTCTAGCAGAGTTCACAACTCAAATGTTGACTAGCAGGAAAATTTAAACTCATCTTTTTCTTCTCTTTTGATAATTCCAATGCTCAATAATACACTCTTTTCATTTATAGAGAATAGTCATTCACGTAATAACAATAACCAAAAAATGAAAACAGCTTGAGCTTTTTTAAGATCATGGTGATTCGCATCATCAATACCCGCCTTCCTGTTGATTTCGTTGATCGTTTTGATCAACTGGCTGATCTTGAGCTGATGGCTGCTCCTGGATGTTCACTCTAAAATCATTGACTAAACTTTGAGCCATATTGTTAGCCGCCGTCTGCATTTGCATTTGCAAATTCGCTGCCCGTGGGGTGCCATTAGGCCTATTGGCTCCTCCTGCTTGCCCTGAAAATAAACCCCCCAAAAGCAAAAACAGGGTGACATTGTTTCTTAAACAAAGCTTACATTGATCGTGCTTAATTCAGAACTTAATTTCTTCCATACAAAGAGGCGTTAGTTACTGTTTCAGAATACTTTTGTTTATTATAACTAACCTGCATTAGCGGCTATGATGCCTGCTAAGTTTCTCTTATGACGAAGCACGGCAAAAACTCCTCCGATTACCCAGAGAAGTACAAATATTGGAATTACGGTTCCAAGTATTACAGGTTGGTTGTTCTTCTTTTTCTTGCCCCTGCTTGAGGAGAAAGTTGGGTCATCAACATCTGCGTTGGCTGTGTTGCATGACTTGCCAGAGACACACAAATCTGGATTGCCTGTTACACTGAGATTCATAACAACGAAAATGTGAATCATTGGAGAAATCAAATCAGTTTGTAGCCTGATTGAATAAAGAAAAAGTAATTTACTTACACTAATTTTAACTTGGTATTCTTTGATATTGAGGAAGGAATGGGTCCACTAAGCTCATTATCAGCCAAGTTCCTGCAGGAGGAAGAACAGTTTCAGTTAACTATCAGGAAACTGGAAAAAGAGAATTCTGATAAAAAGAGTGACAAGTAAACTCACAATTGTTTCAGATTAGGCAAGGTGCCAAGAAATTCAGGGATAGACCCGCTTAGGCTGTTATTGTGCAAATCTCTGCAATAAAAACGAAAAGAAAATTTTCAAACAACAAGAGATTGAGATCAAACAAATTTAACTGATAAAGTTGGAGCTATAAAACTCACATTATCTCGAGGGCGGTCATGGAGGTAAACTCAGGAAGAAAACCAGATAGACCAAAGCTACCGAGATACCTGAAAGATTTTTAAAATTCTGAATCATCAGGTTATCATGAAACTTGGAGTGATTTTGTTAACGATTTAGCAAGAAAATTATTGGGAACTTACAATGCAGTTACTCTGGGTGTGGAAGCAGAGGTGCAGTTGATCCAATCCCATGAATATGGAGAAGGAAGGCAAGGGTCACCACCCCAGTCTCCCAGTACAACAAATTCATCCTTCAAAGAGGCCAATCCTTCCACTAGAAAATAGCATAAAGAAATCAATGAACAAAAATCCCAAAATTTCATGTTTGGATATATGAAACATCAAGATAATTAGTTACGCCTTGGATACCAACCATCATCACTATTGGTTCCATATGTTAGCTCATCACTGACAGTAAAAACTTCCAGTGCATTGATAAGAGGAGGATGTGTGGAATCAGATGTGGCTACCAAAGAGAAGTTAGTGTTGGAAGAGGCAGTGAAGTTGGTCAGGTACATTTCTCCTGCTTTTCCATAAGATGGGATAAAGGGGTTTGAGGTAGACTTGCCATCTATGTAAAGCTGAAAGGATCTTCTCTGGGTTGAATCAAGCACTGAAACTTCCGAAAAATACATGTTCATGTAAATAGGAACTTCAGTTGCGGGAAGATTAGTCCCTAATCGTACGGATGTGGAAGTGTTGTTAGTGGCAAATGCATTTTTAAACACAGCTCCTGGAGGGTTATCGTCTAAACTAACATCAATGAGTGATTCATCACTTGTGAGCACTGTGAAATCGCCTCCATTGATAGCTGGAACCCATATTCTGTCGTAAAGATCATCGATATACCTAACAAGTACATAAAAACAGAATGAGATTTATCAGTGCAGGGAGAAAAAAAAAACCTCAGAAAGGGAATCTGACGCAACCAATCAGAAACTTTAGCCACAGCAAAACACATACCTAATTATTTCTTTGGTGCCATAAGCAACCCTCCTCCTTAACATCAAAGCATAATTCGAATCAATATGGCCGTACATTTTCTCGTCTAAGCTCCGGACTTCGATAGCTGATATAAAGGGGAACATGTTGGGAGATGTCTGAGCTACACATACACTCACGGTGTCCCTCTTTGTGACATAAATAACCTCATAGGAAACAACTTCGTCACTTGAAGTCTCCACCGTGGCCCAATGATTCCCATCGAATAGTAGATCAAAACTTGGGGGAGACGATTTCTTGTCATAATTTCCATAGAAAAAGCTCGCCCGGACAAGAACCTGAGATCCCTTGTTAGCATCAACGGAGTAACAGCTTTTCTTCCTATCAGTGAATACCCTCAGAGTGGTCATGGCTTGAGACACTGATTTGCTAGATTGCACCACCACTGCCTCGCCATGTTGAATGTAGTTTTCATCTCCAACCCAACCCATGGAGTAGTCATCAGTGTAAATATCAGACTCTCCACAGTCGATGCTCACTGAAATTCACCACAGCAAAAATACTTTAACATTAACTTGTAAAATAATTCAACAAAATTAAACACCGTACAAGCAAAGTGAAACTTCAGTACACGAAAATATCAAAGGCCTATAGATATAAGCTTACAATCAGCGTTAAGCGTGGAAAATGCAGAAGCTGATATGATAAGGAATAAGAGATAGGTAGCCATGGCTGTTTGAGGGGGAGAAGGATTGGACAGCTGACATGCATAAGGCTTAATGCCCTTAATTTAAATAGAAAAGTATTGAACTATGCACTATTTAGTATTGGTTGACTATGACCAAGTCATGAGGTTAACATTCCAGCAAAAAAAAAGAGTCATGACTCATTTCATTATAGTTAGCTTTGCTTTTGCCCAGCTCATGGTTTCTGGGATTTGGTGTGGATTTCCTTCAAGCTGGTTAAAACCAATTACTAAGGTTTTTTGGGTTATTGGGTTTTGAGTAGTAGGATCACTAGCTAGATTTATGCACTTGAGCTTGGTTGAAATTAAGATTTAATTTTTTAAAAAAATATCTATATAAACATTCGAATATAATTTGCATTAATTGCGGATGTATTGTATTATTTTATAAAACTAATGATAAAATTCATACGCGTTTAAAGAATGTGATGCATAGAAATTCAAATCTTTGACGTGTAGAATAATGATGTGCAAATATTATGTCTCTTTAGGGCTGTTTATCCCAAACACCCATTCACACCATATTACATGGATTGACTTTGGAAGAGTTTCAAATCAGTCCATGCCTTCAATGTTCAGTTTTTCCAAAAGCATAGAGCGTTGACTTTCTCTTCCCTTATTAGTCGGTATACCATAGCAAAAGTTGCACGTTGCTCAGTGAACATGCATGTTGCTTCTTGGGCAACTTGCTGTGTTTGTCAATGAAAGGAAAACCAAGGGTGATTTCCTGAGGCTATGCAAGCATATTGTCTGCCAGTCGATGAAGCTGCAAAATTGCGAGCAGAGATCACAAGTTGAAAATTTGAATCAAAACTTTGGAGTTTGCCTAGGGAAACGCCAAGTAAATTAAGCAAGGGAAGACTCAAAGATCAAACTGCAAACAGGATAATTGCCCAGTACCTCTCTACTCGGAGAAGGTCCTGTCAATGGCCATAACTTCAGCAGTTTGGATCAATTGTGCACTGGGGAGAATCCTATCATTTAGTTTAATGCCTTTTAATTGTTATGTTATAAAGGTAGAAACAGCACATAGATATTTCTATCAAAAGAATAAAATTTGTAGGAAGATACGATTGAGTCAACAACATTGCATATTCTTTAAGCTAAACCCTAAGTTTTATATATCTCACCCTTTTGATGAATATTCTTTTCATATCTTTTTTTTTTTTGGGTTTAATTTAGCTTCTAAACATTACTAGCTCATAGATCAAAATGTGGAAAGCCTTTGTTCATGGGATTTTTCTTTTTGGATATCATTTAATGGCTTAAAAAAATCACTAGTTGAGTTTAATTAATGGTTTAGATTCAAATCTTGAAAATTATAAGATCTTAATTTTTATTTTCATCATGTACATGTAAGATTGAATGTCTATTTGATCTGATTTTTTTTCAGCTTATCTACTTTTTAAAATTAAAAGTCAAGACAAGTATGATTTTTTGAAAAGCTTTTAAAAAATAATTTTTTTTAAACAACAAAGTTTAAAAAAAAACTTAAAGAAAAGCTCCAAGGGAAGCTTTTTCTTCTCTTTTTTTAAAAACACATTAAGTTTTCAAAAAATACCCTTTTCTCCGTCAATTTCCCTCTCCTCTCCTTCCCTCTACAAATTACCATTGTTCAACGTGAATCATGATTTCCCTCTCCTCTACCTCTCTCTACAAAAACTATTAAAAAAACAGAATGTTAAAATCTATAATTTTTATTCTTACAAAGATTAAGAGAATAAAAATCTAAAATTCAAAATTGCATTTAAATACTATTTAAAGGCTTTCTCTGTTTTTTACCAAAAAAATTTTAATGTTAAATATATCTCTTCTTCTTTTCTCTTTATTTTTTAGGAATTAAAGCATTATGGTTTGAGATCAATAAAAATCTAATATTATTACTACTATACAAGTTTAAGAGTTATTCTGTTTTTTTATTAATTTTTTTGATTTTAACATTTGAAATTATATATAAACTTGAAACGTTACATTATAACTTATTACGTGATTGAAGATGACATGAATACACTTTATGGTAATTTTAATTGAAATTAAAATTTATATAATTTATTTTGTTAAATAGTTTACTAAACAATTTTAGCTTAATTCTAAAAGTTATTTTTTTCATAAAAACAATAATAGCTTAATTCTAAAAGCTAGGCCAAACAAGTTTTGAATATTAATTGGTTCAAATCGAAATATGATAAAAATTAATTGAATTTAGTTAATTTGGATCGATTTTTTATTTCAAAATGAATTGATTAGGAGAAGTAGTTATTTAATTATTTCAATCAATTTTTTATATTCAAAATTTACAATTGAAATGATCAAAAAATTTATTATTAGTATATGTTTTAAATATAATATAATTGATATTTTTAAAATATATCTAAATTAACCGATCGAAATAAATTGATTTCAGTTTTTTCATTTTTATTATTATTCGATTAGTTTTGATTATTTTTATTAAAATTTGATTAATTTAATCTTTAAAAATTTATACTGGCTCTATATTCAAAGCCTGAAAATCAATCATAGTATGACCTTTATCCTTTTAGAAGGCCCACGATGCCCAATCACACAAGGCAAATCTGCCCTGAAAATTTAAACTTGACATGGGCTTGAGACTATATCCAAATTGACTTTGGGCTACAAATAAAATCTTGAATGATGGGCCAATATTTTCTCTTTACTTTTTCCCAAGCCCCAAACATTAGGTCGAATCAAGTGAAAATTGAAATGCTTTTCAGATCTTATATTTAATTTTTAAAAAATAAAATTACAAAAAAATTATATATAAAATCAAACGAGATTTTAAATATAAAAAAATATTCAATAACAAATTCACCAAAAAAAAAACATGTAGTTATCTTAAGCTCTTCCCTTCTGATATATGAAATTTGATTAATCAAACCATATATATGTTAGTAAATTAGGCATTTTTATATGTACATTTAGATGTGTCTAAACACAGAGATAAATTCATGGGTTGTTGATCAGCCTCCTTGACAATGCCTTAGCTTTAACATCATAACAAGGCAAGAAAAACAAACTGGGTATTAGCTAACATTGGCCCAGTTGCCACCTCCCCAACAACTCTATTGATGTGAATGTTTCGTTTGAATTTTTTTTTCCTCCTATTTATCACTCCATGCAATCAGCAGTGAAGTTAAAGTGGTGACGGTCCTAACTCTTTAATTTTTTATGATTATATATATAATTTAAGATATATAAACTTTTGATTCTGTATAATTATATTTTAATCACTTTTCATATAAAATCTTGAATTTATCAATGTATATATTAAACCCTAATTAATGAATTATTTATTTTTTTTGATAAATGGTGTGCACGCAGGGCGGTGGAAATTGAACTAAGCTTTGATTTAAAAAAAATGTTATAAAAGAAGAAGAAATTGATTCACATTGTCCATTCCAATTGAATTAGTATGCTTTATAATATGAAATAATAGAATAACAATAGCAAGTAGCTAGTTAGTGCTAGACAGTTGCAAAAAAAAAAAATGTCAATTGTCCAAAAATTGAGACAAATAGAGAAAAATAAATTGCTAAAAATGAACATAGAATTAATTGATATTGGGAGCCAGGAAAGTACCCTAATTTGTCCTGGCAACAGCTAAGATGATATATTGGAATTATTGCCGGCATTCAATAGGTGAAAGTTATTTGTATTATCCCAAAAAAAAAAACTTATATAAATGTGGATGAGTTTACTCTTCCTTGTTATATATATCATATTAAACTTAAAGTTATTAATTTAATTACCTCGTTTTTTTCCATGTCAAGTTGGGTATTTTTTATTATCCAAATCGATCTTTGTATTAATTTTTTTTCTAGTATTGTAGTGCATTCAATACACGCCTTGTTAAGATATTTATCAAAAGTCTCAAGAAAATTAACTTGACCATTTCATATTGCTTTTAGTGTTAATTGAATTAAAAAAAATGTGGGTTGTAATTCAAAATTTTATTTTATTTTTAGAATTTAAACCTAAAAACCATTGAATTTTATTACAAATAATGCAAGATTCTTTTAGTTTTGTCATTTTCCCAAGTGTTTGATTGATGCCTAAAACGTTAACGCAGCTGCAAATGTTAGCAAGACGCAATGCCTGTCGTCCCCAACATATTCTTTTGCTACTGTCGTGGAATGTGGACTTGCTTGCTTGAAAGTTAGGTCTCCATTTTTCATGGCCTTCCATCTGTTCTCATACAGACCAGAAACTGGCCTCCACGTACTGCCTTCCCTCGTTTCTTTTCCTTGTCTTTCTTTCCCCACAAGTTATTATTCCTTTCTTTTCTTCTTTCTCTCTCCCTCGTCCTTAGTCGGTTGAAAGCGAAAGCTTGCCTACAAAATTAATTTAGTGATTCAAAATTATGAGTATAATATCATAAATTATGAGTTAATTATTGATTCAAAAACAAATTATTATTTTGTATTATTACGGTTTTTTTAATGAAATATGGTTTATGTCATTAATCTCTATTTTGTATTTGACATAATACTTATAAAAAATCTAAATTATTTAAAATAATTCAAATAAATCATTATTTTTTTTAAGATCGATTAAATTCTATACTTTTATTTTGAATTGTACAAGCTTTTATAATTAACGATTAATTAATTGATGTTAATTAAAATGTTATTTATTTTTTATATTACATGACATATTAATATGATATAATACATGCTAATATAACATAATGATATAATCAGGTAATATTTTTTACTATTTATATTAGTATTATATCAAAGCCACGAGACATAAAAAAATAAAAAATTAAATTATAATTAATTAATTAATAATTAAAGATTTATTTATTTAAAAATAAAAATACAATGATTTGATCAAATACAATAAGAGAATACAAATTATTTAAATTTTTAAAATTATTTAAGAATTTTTCAAAACATTATAATCAAAAGTTTGAATATTTTTGTTTTGTAAGGTGTGCACCTGTTTCGTGCTCAATTTATATGCTC